CTCTAATGGGCTTCATACTGCCTGCGGTACGACTTCTCATGGCGGGAAGCTAATAAAAGAAAGATAAACGGTACGAGCACTCTAAAGGCTGGAGGCTGCTTACACCGGGTCCTCAAACCGACGCCGTAGGCATTTATTTGTATACAATGCCGTTTCAACTTAGGGTGGCGGGACATATTTTAGGAAAGGCGCCCGCTACCCCTCGTCTCCCCTTGGCGCCGTCTTTACTTTTCGAGTTAAACGCGGCTTCTGTGGATTGACGGCAGAGCTTTCGGGCGGCTTTGCAGGAGCGAATATGTGTGTGTCGAACGGAACAGAGGCGGGGCTTGCTGGTTTCCCACCCCGGCTTCGAATTCCCTACCTCGAGACTTGCAACATAGCCCTTAACAGCTCCGCTGTAAAAGCAATTCGTCGCGTGCGTCGCTTCTCGGCTTTAGCCAACGTTACTAAAACACTCAGTTGGGAAACTCCCATAGAGACAGCTTTGAAAAAGTGGCCCCAATTTGTCTCCGAGCACCGAGCTAATGACGAACACAACGCCACCATTTCTCCCGCAGCGGCCACTCGAGGAACTGCACGTGACTTCTGTTTTGGCTTTAAGAACAGATACAGCAGAAGAGGTTACAGGAGTGATACCCCCGTCTCCCCGGCGGACACGCCGCGTCGAACTACGAAGTTAAAATGCACCTAGGTCGGGACGCGCTACCTGAAAGCCCCGCTGAGGCATGGTTTTATAAAAACAATATTGTGTCGCAAAACCCTGCAAACTAAAGATTTTAAAAACATAACGCGCCCCTTTTTTTGTACTAAACTCCAATCAATTTCATACAAAAAGAGTCTTTTCCGTTTGTTTTTAAGCAAAAACAGGCTTTCAAAAAGCTCAAGGTGACCACAATACAGACAAACGATAAAGAGTGGCGCTGTTGTCGCATTTAGCTCGGTCTCGGTGGACGCCAGTGGCCCAGGTTTCGACGCCGAGTTTCCCAACTGAGTGTTTTAGTAACATTGGCTTTAGCCAACTTCTCACTACGAATCCACCTTGGAGAAGCGCAAACACCTCGCGGACCGCGGCCTCGGCAGCTGGGGCCGTGTGTCGCCACCGGCGGCCATTGATTGACACCAGTCTGGGACTCTATGGGAAGAACGGGAAAAGCGACGTTTTCCCCTAATTCTAAGCTGTTGTCGGCACTGAAACTTCTTGGATGATTTTTCGATAAGCCCGTCAAATAGCTTTCGTACAATCATTAAAACTTACAGCCCTCGCAGTTCTTATAAATAAATATTTTGTGGTCAAGAGTGACTCCGCTGTAGTGCAGCTCAATGTGGCGAGAGTTACCTAGAGTTACCGCGGAGTCGGCGGCGGTTTTGTTGAGTTGGGTTGAGCAGACGACAAGCTCGAAGGCTTTGCTACGCGGAATTAGCTCACTCCCGAAAAGCCGCTGTCGAGATGGAACTTCTTTGTCATTCATCAACTTCTGGCCTTCCCTAAGGACGGTCTTATTGACGGCAAGTTCCTTCGTTTACTCCACTACGAGAGCAAGCTTGCCAGCTCAGCCGTAGGTGCTCCGGTACGTTTGATTTTTTCATTCGGCGACCAGACGTTTGACAAATACCGATTTGATCTCCAAGCACCCGACATAAGGATCGCAGCGCACCATAAAATACTCGCCTCCGAGCACAGCGTACATGCTTCAATATGCTTACTTTTGTGCGTTTCTCCCCTAGACTTGCGTGTATTGCCTGGTGTCAAGCAATGGCCGCCGGTGGCGACACCGACGGGCTCCCGATCTGCGATCCAGCCTACTACAATACAGATCAATGGCAAAGACTCTTTGCCAACGTTATTAAAACCCTCAGTTGGGAAACTCACCCCTGAAACCTGGGCCGCTGGCGTCCACCGAGATTGAGCTAATACGATAACAAAGCCACCCTTGAGCGACGAGTTGAAACATGAAAGTTGCTTTACATAGCTACTGCGAGATGGTGCCACCGGCCCTTGCCACACTCGACCAGAACCAATAGACCGTTCCGTTAGGGTTATAGCGGAGAGGGTGAAGAGAAAAATATGCCTCCCCCCCCCCTCACCTTGATGTCGTCTGCTCCGCCGACTGGGCTGTACCTAGCATCCGGCTGGCGTACCATTTCTTTTTAAAATCGCGCCATTTTGGAAATTTCAAGCGCAGATGCGCAAATTTTGGAATGCCAGTTATCATGTAATACTATGCTAGATAAAAAGACTAACAGGGCCCAATCGCGCCCTGTTACCTGCATACAAATTTAAAAAAATAGGGAAAACTATGCCAGATTGGCCAGTCTCTCCGGCGAAAAGTGAATCCGGTTGCTGTACCTTTTTTTACTATACAAAGTTCGTACTGGTGTAGGCCTTTAGCGACCATGAGTGGAAGTCCGAAATAATAAATAAAAATGTGCTTCCTGCCGCAATACACGCAGTAGTTGAGGGGAGTACTGCCGGCTGACTCAACTGCTATTTAAGTAACGGAAGAAAAGATATGTTAGTTGATCATTTACTGAAATAGAACAACAGAGAGCTCTAGGCTGATTTTGGAGTAGCCATAACTATTCTAAGAACGCGAACCAATTCACAAAGGCAGCCACGAGCGAGAGTTCGATGTTCCGTACAGCCCGCCGGTACAGCCCAAAGATGGAGAATGGCAACCTCCCGGTTTGTCGTCTGCTAGCAGAGTCGGGCACGTGCCCTCTCTCTCGTTTTACTATGGTGCCTGGATCGCGTCTTCGACTGGTGTGTTTAGCGTCCTATCCCGCCGATACATCAAAAGTGGTTCCGAAGTGGCAACAAATGACGTCACAGAAGCCGGAGTGTCATGCTGTAGCCTGCCACGATCCTGGCGGTTGGCCGTAGAAATACGGGCGAAAAGCACGAGCGAACGCGAGTGCCGCTGTCATCACGGCGTCCAAACTTCCAGCTGCTGTAGCTTCCGTGGACCGTCACAGTGGAGAGCGACCTGCAGCAGAACAGACGTCTGCCATATATACCACAACTGTTAGGGCACCGCCAGGATCGCGACCGGCGACAGCATGACACTTATATGAAGTCATCAGGCGGAAATCGAGGGACCACTTTTTTGGCCGCGGTAAACACACCAGTCGGAGACGCGTTTTAGGCACCATAGTTTTACCCCGCCGAACCCGCTGAATTTCCCGGATGTATGGAGAGGGCGCTGTTGTCGAACAAAATGGTGCCGCCCAGAGAGCGCTAAATACAGCCGTGCAGTTTCCGAAGTGGACGCTGCGGGAGAAATGACGGCGTTGTGATCGCCATGCTCGGTTCTCGAGTACAGATCGGAGTCACTTTTTTAAAGCAGGCTCTATGGAAGTTTTCCAACTGAGGGGTTCTAGTAACGTTGCTCTTTGCGTACGCACGCAACTTCCGGAAAATAGCGTACGCAAATCACAGAACGAGGGTTAGCGTTTGGCGTAAGCGCAGCGGCGACAACGTAATTCTTTGCGTATGCAAAGCATTAGCGTGCGCTATTTTAAAACTTTATAATATCACGTAATAAGTGACCTCACATGATTAATCGGAATGCTACCTAATACAAACCCGCCATGAAATCTCACCATTTTTTATTTATTACAGTTCTGTATATGCGATTTTCCAATAGATTTAGAAATACCGCTGGGCAATTTCTTGGTCATCTCAAAGAGATGGAACACTTTATTACATAAAAATAAAATGGCACTGACAAGATTGTCTCAGCAATCTATGGTACTCTGTAAAATTGTCACAAAAATTCTAACCGTCATATTTGTTCTTTACAGAGGCATAATACCTTGACACGATTTCCAACAAAATAGTCATTGGTAGAAAACCATAGTGTATGTATTGTTCAGCTTATTTAAGGCATAGCTTTACAATATTTTCAGCACTCAAATCAGCAAGGAGACAGGTCATTAGTTGGGAGTAAATACAAATGTATTGCTATATAATTGCGAAGAACACCGTTAAAGCATCTTCAGCTTGGCAGAGCAAGAAATATGAACATGCCAGCATATACTAACTATAAATACTTGAAATGACTTTTAGCTAAACTTACAAAGGAGTTCACTGCAGGTAAAAAAAGTTGTTCATAAAGCACTTAAGTACTCATACTGTACACAGCAGTGCAACATGTATGCATAAAACAATGACCTTTGACAGTGTCCACGACTGTCACAATTTCATGTTTACAGAATATAATAGAAAATGCTAGACATCTCGCAATTCCCTAACCCAGCTTTGACAATGTTCTATTCATCATCTCGGTATTAAAAAAGGTTTGAGTGCTTTCTTGCCAGAAAAATCTGAACAATATATAAAGTACAAGACTACATTACTCCCCCCCCCCCCTCAAAGAAATATCAGTATCTACCATAAATTAATTTGCATTGTCATTTTACTGTGAAACTCGTCAAAGGTGTCAAAGCAAAAATGCACAATTCCCTTCTTCATTTGCTCCTGCACAATTCCATTCAAATGCAAATGGAGTGAAGACGAATGCTATTTGGTTAAAGAAATATATAAGCCTTCAGCATCTGAAGCAGGTTTGTAAATCCCTTCCACATGCAAAAATACAGGACATAATTCTCTCTTATGCCTTTTATAATTCATTACACCAGTTATACTTTGCTAGTTTGCTACTAAGCTTTCACAGTCTAAAAGATGAAAAAGTGCAAGTTTGACCTTAAGGGCCAGTGAATAATTATGCGTTCAATGATAGTCTTTGCAACAGAAACACAAAAGGACATAGTAATCATGACTTGCTTCAGTTGGGATGCCGTTTTTGCAAAGCTAGTTCCGAAACAAAAAAAGCATGCAGCAGGTTGAGCATAGAAAAGATGCCATTTGTTCATCGTTCTCGTCAATATGGCGTCTTCGTCTTGTGGTAAGCGTGAAAAGTGTTAGTTTCACCACAATTTCATCGGCACAGAACAAAAACCTGTAAGCTCGTCAGTTACAAAAGCTACACACATCTGGATCAGATTACGACGTCAGGCGCAAGCATAATGACTGCTTAATAGCGCGACTTATATACACTCGTCCGAGATGCACTACACTAGAGCCACACGGTAATAGTAAATAAAGAAAGAACATTTCTTAAAAACGGTCAGCACTCTTGCAACGACAGAAGCGAGACCACTTAGAGAGCAACAATGTAAAACAAGATTGCGGCAGCACATCCCACGCGTGAGGTCGAGAAACCTAGGCATTGTTTGTTTGCGGCCACAGCAGAACCAGCGTGTTGTTTGGAGCCTTCTTGAACGCAGGATTGGTAACGTTGGACGTGCACTCCACGGAAACCGTTCGAGGCTTGTTCCCGAGCATGCACTGCAACTGGCTTGCCACCATCACTCTGAGGTCTCGCTTCTGAGACCTGCAAAGGTACCCGACAGTCAATCTAAGGCAGGGGTTGACAACCTTTTGCAGCGGCGGGCAGAGTCGTCACAAAGCCGACAAGGATGGGGGGGACCGGACAACAAGCCGTGATTTTTAAATCGAATTGAATCAAAATTCTGTATTTTTATCTATTTGGAGAGAGAAAACGGGATAAAAAAGCAACAGAACAGTTCCTTGACAGGCCTGCATCTCCGCTCAGCAGCACCAGAGACAAAGCACACAAAACAGTTAACACACACAAAGAAATAGTATATAATTATTCATTTGAAAAAAGAAAAGCAATGAAAATTACCACACATCATGCACTTGCACTAACATTGGAGGTTCAACAAAAAAATTGAAGCAAATATTTGTTTATCATGAACAAAATTTCTATTTTTAATTCCTTCAAACAATTTAAGAGACAGGGAAGGGTACTTCGGAACATCTGATTTCCATAATTTGTTCTGCAGTGCGAATCTAACCACGTATCTGCGCTGCGTCTATCATAAATCGTTTCTCTAACTGTAAGTTGAGCAGTAGACAGAAATATGTTTCCTTTGTGGGGAAAAGACTTTTTATAGGTGATGCAAAGTTTATAAATATAGTTATTTGGAATCTGTACAATATGAAAATATTTAAATATGCAGTATGGCATTTAATATGCACAACTGTTTTTTGCAGAAATTGTATCTGCTTGAGATTTGTGGACGTGGTATTCCCCCAAACCAAAAAGCAGTAATTATAATGCATGTGAAAAAATGAGACATTTACAATTTTCTGTAAAGCCGGATTAGTGCGCAGCTCTTGAGAAAGAGGAGGAGGGGAGGGTGTTTCCTGCTCCCCCTCCGTACCCTCCCGTCCTCCTCTCCTGCTCCCCTCCCATTTAGCGAGAAAGTTTCGCTAAATTTGCAAAAATTTCCTTGCTAAATTTAGCAGAAAAATATTCCCGCTAAATGTAGCGGGAAATTTACCAACATTTTCCCGCTAAATTTAGCGGAACATTTAGCGAAAATTTTCCCGCTAAATTTAGCGGGAAAACTCAATTGGTGCAGAGGTCACGTGACGTCCCATAATGCAACCGCGCATTGCATTATAAAAAGCTTCCCATAATGACGTCACGAGGGTGAAATTGGGTCACGAGCATACCCAGGTGACGTCACGTCATGAAAAAGTTCCACTAAATTTGGCGGGAAAAGTGCCCCGTTAAATTTAGCGAAAAATTTTCCCATCAAATTTAGCGGGAAAATTTTACCCTCGTGACGTCAAGTGTCGCCACACGTGAGGTCACACGTGACCCAACTTTATCCTCGTGACGTCAGACGTCACGTTACGTGCGACGTCATTATGAGAAACGTCCCATAATGCGACGCGCGGTTACGCCGACGGCGACACCGATACCGACGCCGCTTGACCCAGAAATGGGCACCTAGGAGCTGCGCCCATAAAGAGAACGATATATAAGAACCAGTGCTGACGTGAGTATACGACGATATTTGTACATAACATTGACGACCTTTGAGAGCTTTTGACATGTATAATGTACCATTTCATCCCATAGCATGTTCCCATTAAATATTACACCCAACACTAACACTTTTGACTATGTCTATTTTATGGGTACCAAGGCAGAGAGTAGATGTATAGAAGCAATTTGTATTTCTTGCTTTAAAAAGAACAGCTTTAGTTTTACCATAATTAATTTCTAAGGAATTACACTGTCCAAGTATTTAATTTATTTAGAAATTTTTTCGCGGCACTTATGATGTGCTCAGTATCTGTACCTGAAAAAAATACTCGTATCATCACCATAGCTAATAAAACTTACATTATCATCAATATTTACTACGTCATTGACATAACGGGTTTTAAAAAAGTGGTCCTAAAATACCACCTTGTGGCACTCCAGCTATTAACAGGTGCAATTAAGATCACTTTTTATCTATTCCAACGCACTGGTAGCAATACCCAAGCTAAATTTTAACTATACTTGGGGCTCTACCATGCACACCGTACATATAAAGCTTTTGGACCAAAGTATTATGATTGAGGCAGTCAAAAGCCTTTGAAAAGTCTGTAGATGTACCTTTTCAATGATGTTTGTAAACAAAGGGCATGACAGGTACACATACAGGTAAAAAGAGACAGAAAGTAAGAAAAAGACAAGAATCGAGATGAAAAGGTTACAAGACCTGTTCCACTGCCGAACAACCGTTCCGACGAGTTCCCCAGCACGGTTGCCATCCGTCTGCGACTTGGGGTTGGTCAGGCACACGACCAGGTCATTATTTCCACGTAGGTGCAACACCACCAGCTGGTCTGGCCCAGGGCTCACACTGATCCCTGTCAGCTGCACGGGGTAAACAACGCAAACAGAATTGTCATCAAAAGTACTAGCTTAAAAAGAGAAATTGGTACAGAACTGCTAGTATTAAAACTCTTAATGCACTTTGCCATTCCTTGTTTCTTCTATTGGCCTACGAAAGTGCTACTGTATGCACACTCTGTACATTTTCTGCTAGTTGAAAGGTGATGTGCAAGTTGAATCCAGATTGATGGAAGACAGGAAAGAAAGCAGGGGTGTGCAGGTATCTTAGAATTTTTGCAAATAAATTCAGTAACGTTGGCTATCCGATTTACAGAATAGTTTTACGACCCTGAGTATTAAAATTTTCAAATCGTGTTCTGGAATTCTTTTCAGCAGCAGAGCAATTATTGAGACTTCAGCGTGTGTGTCATTACCTGCAGACTTGGGTTTTTTCAATCAGGTTTAATGTACACCAACTTGTTTGCGCCCCTACAATTATTTCAATTATTGTGGCAGCTTGCATGTGCCTCTATATCCTATCTGACACTTTCTTTAGGCATTCACAAATCTTCAACTTCAATTCATTCTCAAACAACTTGTGTCTACTGATCACTTAGTTCTAGTATTTGAATTTACCTTAGGAATCTGAATTAGGGCATAACTAATTTAAGAAAATAATGGCGAAAACCCCCAAAAATGGTCTGGGGAATCTATGCTACAGCAGGAAAGGGTGCTCACATCGCTGATAGGAATGGGCGTCCTTAGTGTCTTGAAGTGTTTGTTGTCCATCTTGTAGATGTTTTTGTCCGTGATGACCAAGACCCTGTCTGCGGACTGGTTGTGCTTGTTCACCTAAAATTCACAAACGGTGCATGCTCAAGGCAAAAATTTACGAACACAACTGTCTCTGATGAAAAAAACAAAGAAACAAATTGCTCCAACCAGCGATTTGTAGTGTGCGCGTAATAATGCAATCGCCCAACTTCAAAGTGTCGCATTGTTTTAAAAAAGGCTTACACCACTTCTTTGTGGTGGTTAGGATTGCATATTTATCCAATTTCTATTAAAGAGCAACTCCGGCCAAAACTCAAAATGAAATAAATTACTGGTACAGTATAGACCACTTACAACGTAACCGCTTATAGTGCAGGACCGGGTATATCCCGGCTTTTTTAAACCACCGGTTTGCCTCCCATAGAATCCATGTAACTACATACCACTTAAAGGGCAACTCCGCTCAATTCCGAAAAATTTAGGCTTCCATGTGATTCACATTCACAAAGCACTACTAAACAACTCTACAACTTCGGATTCGCGAAATGTGTAATATTATTTGTGTAATCCTAATTTGTGTAATCCTAATTTAAACATCAGCAGATACCGAAACGAAACTTCGGTTGCGTCAGGTAACATTGGTCTCGGGTCGTCAGAGTCATGGCACGTCACGCCGAACCATGTGGTCTTGTGACGCTCGGGGGAAGCAAAAAACTAACCGAAATCTTCTTTTTTTTTTTTTTTTTATTGGACGCGGGCAGGTTGCTCTGCATGGCGTGGACGGTGATGGCCCGGGGACGAGGGGGAAGAGGAGAAGACGAAAGAGGAGAAAAGGAGCGGAGAAACAAACCGATAAGCGCGCACGGCAGCGCAACCCAGGCGCATCCGTGTTACGGTGATCACGTGAACGCCCGGTCAGCCAACACCGGGAGGAGAAACTCATGACGTCATCGTTCAATTTTGCTCTGAGAAGTAAAAACAAACAAAACGTGAGAATGACGTATGCATGCCTCTGACGTAGTGGCTCAACGTTGGCCGCTCCATCTCCGTGGCATTGACTGCGCTGGTGATTGCGCTTCGCGCCGCACGCTAGAGTTGGCAGATTTCGGCGACTTGGCTCGCTTGAAGGTTTGCTGGCCAGTTTATTAAATATATAAATGGAATTAGATCGTAATATTTGACATGGGGTCTTCCTATATGATACTGAAGAGGGCTACTTAGTTTTCTAAATATCAAAAATGAAGCGGAGTTGCCCTTAAAAATGCAGGCGCGCGAAGGGAAATACCAGTTATAGTGCGGATTCTGGAACAGCGCTCCGATTGCGCCATTGACCGGTGCAGCGAGCACGCTTCCCTGTGCGACACTAGATAACGGCGCTAGCCTGGTTAGCCGCAAGCGGCACTCGCGGGGCAAGGAGGTTGCTCGAAGTCGTGGCTCGAAGAAGCGGGAAGAAGCGAAGAGAGAGGCTTCAGTTGCCATAGTGACGGAGGGACGCACGCACGTGTCGTTCACGTGCGTGCGTGCTTCCCTCCGCTGCGTTGGCGTTGGAAACAACCGCAACGACAAACCAATCGCAGGTCGAGGAGAAGTGTTCGCGCACGTTGCATGCCGGTCGCGGGCTGACTGCTTCTATCCGCAAACATGGCGTCGGTTGTGATCGTCGACGTAGACGGATGGAAGCTCATCGTTCCGCGTAAAAGCGCTATCCTTGACTGTGAATTTTCGTTGTGTGTCGCTATGATAACCCAGCACGTACTAGAAGGAAAGATCCACGTACTGGTGCGGCGATGTCGTGGCGGCACTCTCAAGACGGCAGAAACGCCCGTGTCGTCGTGTTTGTTTACTTCGACTACAGTGGTGCTTTCTAAGCATTTGTGTTTTCGAACATCGCCCGGATTTCTTATTTGGAGCATTTCATGCCTGTGCTAAAGTTGAAGGTATTACTGGCGCGTATCGTATAAAGGACGCAAATTTTCACGCGTCTTCATCACCGGAGAAAAGTGATTAGGGTTAGCAATCCTGAACGCTCGCAACGTCCGTCCGCAACCAGCGACGCCGTTAAAAGGCTGCGCCAGGCAAAAGTCGCTCATTTCTTTCAAAATTGACACTTGAGAGAGAAGTGTACTAGTCTGGTGAAATAAAGACTCCTCTTCATTTAACATAAAATATTTCTTTTACAAAGGTTAGTTGTCTCATATGGCATGTATTTTGGTCTGAAAAATTGATGTTTTGGTTATAACGCGGTACTGCTTATAGTGCGGATTTTCGCGACTCCCGCGACATACGTTATATGCGGTCTACACTGCATCGCTGTAGTGACACAAAATACGACCCCAGCCAAAATATTACGTCCGTGGGACGCCGCATTCTCAACTAATGCCGATAGTAAAAGTGTGACCCGCCGTGAGCCGCTGCTCCTTAGCGGGCGACCAGCGGGTTGCCGATTGCTAAAGCAACATTGGGCCGTGACGTCAGTATCATTCTCTTTTTTTCCTCCAGTCCGGGCGTTGCGTGCTTCTTTGAACCGCTACCACCGTTACTTCGGCTTGTGATTGGCGTGTTTAGCCGTTGCTTTTATCTGTAGCCCGAGTAGCTTCGGTATAGCCTTTTGTTTATTTGCCTTGCGAGGACTCCAAGACTCGTTTTAGCGAGCAATTCGGTGCGCCCATAACTGCCCAGTTGTTCCTCGAAAAATGCAAGGTACAACTTGTAGCGCCTGTGGACTGCTCAAACAACCCGCTGCGCAAACCGGAGGTGCTTTTTCACAAGTTTCCAACGGACCGGAGATTAGAGAAGGTGTAAGTGAACGCTGTTCGACGAGTGGATTTTGGACTTCGGCTTTCACGCGCCCGAGGAAAAAAGAATGAAAAAACAGACGGGTACAGCCCAGCAGACGTGTGTTCGGGCGCCGCGGCCTACGCCGGAACCTCAAGGCTTCGTGTTTGGGACTGACCCGCAGCGCGAAAGCGAGAGGGCCCCCAGTACTGTACGTCACTGGCAGCGCGGCGTAGAGCAACGCCGCTCCATCCACGGGGCCCTGATGACAATTTAGGCCTAGCGACAAGTACGGAAGAGCACACGCTTGGCAACAGCCGCCGAGTAGAGCACCGGGCGAGTTCACTCGTTTTCCAGTCGCTAGCTTTCGGGTATACAAGCGACAAGTACGGCATAGCACACGGACGGCGGCGGCCGCCGAGTACGGCACCGAATGAGTTCACGGGTTTTCCAGTCACTAGCTTTTGGGTATACGCACTAACCCTTGCTACATATGCTGGATAACTACCACGCATAAAGAATTATAACAAAATCAGCTTACCACCTATCTTTAGACAGCTAGCGCAACAGAGGTAGGTGCCGCTCCGCCTGCGTACTCGTTGAACGAGAACGATCCTGACATCACGTCAACATAGCGGCCGATTTCCAGTGTTGTCGGGGCCTCGAGCGGCTAGTTTCGGTTTTGTTGGCCATGCCCCAAAACAAAACTTTGAGGCATCTAGATCTTTAAAACTATGCACAATAACGAGAATAAAATTACACCTTGCAATTCAGGGACGCTGACTGCGCTAAAAGCAGTCATAATCCCAAAATCGAAAGTATGAAACGGAGTTGCCCTTTAAGAGCTCAGCAACGTTCTGGTAGTTGCATAACACATGTAAAGTGTGTGACTACCTTCTTGACGAAGCTGGAAAAGACGACCTTGTGGAACTTGTCTTTCGTCTTCAGGCCAGTCACAGACGTGATGTAGGGCAGGCAGGCGTCATTCTCGGCAGTCTGTAACCCGAAAATATGCAGTCACTTTGGCTAACTATAGTAGACAGCCAAAAATGTATGTTTACCCTACAGAGAAAATGCACTCTCACTGCCTTTTTTAGGGCTTGTGGCAGATTTTGCAGTTACGTTTTTCTTTTCATTTTCTGGGGGGATTATACAAATAGCACCGAGGTCATTCCAATCAGAGCGTTGAGCTCTGGTTGGAATGATTATTGACTAGACTCAAAGCCTTTGTCTCTACTCGCTGTTGAAACGGGCGAGAACGGTGTGAACGCTGGCACCTGGCATTCGGTGTTTTGACGTTCCCACTGCCTCTTTGGTGACAACTCTGTGCCACCGCCCCTTTGGCGTAGTTGTAGAGTGTCGGGCTTATACAAATCATGGGGTCGAGAGTCCAATTTTCAAAGGGGGGCGCATTCAGGGTTTTGTTGACATATTGAACACAACAGTGCACAAAAAGACAAGGACAGAGAGAAGGAACATGCACAACACACAAGCGATGTTCCTTTTCTCTGTCCTCGTCTTTTTGTGCGCTGTTCTGTTCAATATGTCTTCATACCAACTCGCCCAACTTACAACACTTCTGCAGAGTTTTGTTGTTTCTTCTCAATTACTAATTGCTATTTCTTCTCAATAAAATCTACCGCTAAATCACCCAGGCATCAAGGAGAATGCTGGAAATGTAGGTACACATGCAGCGCGTGCCATCCTCCCCTGTATAAAATATTAGAAGTAAAGAAGCAAAATAAGGCGTTCATAAATGCAAGTGCAAGATGCCGTTTGTTTTAAGCTTCTGCTTTAGAACAATTACTGCTGCAGACTCCAGCACGTGCAGCATGTGCAACTACACTCACAGCATGCTCCTTGGTGCTTAAGAAATTTAGCAAGAGGTCTATTATGCGCCCTTTTGCACAGGTTGCCCTCTGAAGTATGTTACACCTTTTGTAACGGTTTCCGTGGCATTCCCCGTCACACTTTCCTCGGGAATCAAGGCCCTCAAACGCATTCTACTAAACACATCATTTTATAAAGCACAGAACAGGAGCCAGTCTTCGTTTACAGGTGCTGGCTTCTGCAGAAAAGCCCGCTTATGAAGGTAACCTCCCTTATCCTCCTAAACTGGCCGCTTAGTCCCCTGCCAAATGGCCCCATCCAAACCCTAAACAAAAGAGATCATTTCTTGGCTGTGGATACAGTAGAATCTCGATGGTATGATTGTCGCTGATCCAAATTCCGGAATGATAAGAGTTTTTTTAAAACCCTGGCCAAAAAGTTCTATTTCTAATGCATTACATTTCGGAAAGTTTGAATGCCCTTTTGGGCACTAGTGGATGATACGAACAAAAGCACCAACTTTGGGAAGGTAAAGTCCCTAGATTTTTAAAATATAGAGGGAAGTAAAATATAGAAAGGTAAAGTATAGAGGGATATTTTTGGGGATGGAAAATATAGAGCAACTGATTTTTTGCAGGAGACCAGGCGGCACATTGCACATGCCGCTTGGTCTCCTGCGCGCGGCGCTCCCCGTCAGTCGGGCAGCTCTAAAGTTGCCTTGGTGCAAACGGAATAACCATGGCCGTGTTCTTACCTTGACTCACTCTAGAGTGTACTTCGTCACTTGAAAATGCGAGAAACTACCCGCATCAGAGGTGCAGAGTACTGTGCCAATTGGTACTGATACATAATAAAAACAAAGTGCGCAAAAAATTAATAAAGAAGAGAATATGTATGACGAACGAGCACTCGCACAAAACATTCGAAACTGATCCAGCGCTGCTCTGCTGTTACGATCGTGTGATATGACCCACTGGAGTAACTTGGAATCACTCGAGGGAGATTTAGAACGCAGCGTAATGGCAGGGTAGCACCCAGTGGCCAGTCGTGGAAGTGGCCGATTGGGCCAACCAATGCAACTAACATCTTCTTGGAGAGCCTGGACTTCAGAGAGGGAGCAACAGAAACCAGGGAGAGCATATGCAACTTATTGGCAGACACCTCTTGTACCTTCTGCAAAAATCAGCTGCTCAAGCGCACGCGTGAGTTCTGGAGGATAGCGGAAGGAGAGGCTGAGCAAAGGCCGGAGACGCCTGCAGATGATACACGCATTCCACTCCTCGTTTGCTCTCTCTCTCTCGTTGGCGTGGCATGACAGCGACAAATCAGTCGGGTATGTGCGAAGTTGAAACTGAAAGTTAAAGGTTAAAAAAACGTGAAGGCTGCCCATGCTGACGATATCTTGCAAGCAGAAGGCGCCGTCATTCAAGAAGAAGCTTGAAATTCTGAGAAAGATCGACCAAGACCCAAAAAGAAAACGTGCCGAGATAGCAAAAGAGTCGGGCCTCGCACCGTCGACCCGCTGCACCATTGTCGGTCAGCGTGAATTGGCCACGAAGGATGTGCAACGTTTGAGCGTCAAAATTAAGCGGGCCAAGAGAGCACAGCATGTGAAGCTTGAGGAAATCCTTTTGATGTGGTTTCAAAAAAGTCACGGCGGCTGGTGTCAACACAGACGGCAAGGTCGCGAGAGGGAAAGCTGATGAAATTGGACTTTCGATCTGCATTGGGAACTTCGCTTTCTATGTTCTGCGGCATATCACGAGCTCGGCCAACATCAGTGACGACACGTAAGCATGATTTTACAGATGTCAGAAGTGTCTATTGGGTGACCTTGCAGAGAAGAGACACAAAAGAATATAAGAGACTATTTTGCACGTGAGTCAGGAGCAAATAAACAGCAAGTATACATTACATTTACTTTGGTGCATTGACTCTGTTTATTGTTTGATCATGTGAATTTCGGACGACACGAATATTTCTTGCGACCCCGAGAAATTCGTATCATTGAGATTCTACTGCACACTCAGTCCTACTAGCCAGAGGTTGAATGCAAAAGAGTCAGAAAGAGCAAAACAGGAAAGAAAAAAACCTGCAGCCAATAGTTTCTTCAGAGCCCAGGGGCCAGACGTGTCGTGACAATCGAGTAAGGAAAAAAAGGGTCATCCAGTTTTCCCATAACCAACTTCCAATTTAACATAAGACGACGCTACAGATACCAGGAGCCTCACCGGGGCAGCGACGTACTGTCACTCCATGCTTCCAAAAGTGTTGCGAATGTTGAGGATGGACTCCCCACCAATGCCTCGCAAGGAAGTATCGCTTGCTCACCACGGCAAGGTAGTTGCCCTGCCACTTGCGTGCCTGCCCCCAGTCCCTGCGACGGCCGGCCAGGACGTCCGCCGCCGTCACCTTGAGGTGCAGCTGGGGCCAGTCCTCGTGCGGAACCTTGCGCAGCACCATGTAGCCACGCCAGCTGCACGGGAGAGAGATTGTGATGTAACGCAAAGCTCCAATGAAGTACCCTCATCCAAAAAATAGGCCATCTTCTGGCTAGATTAACGACGCAAAAATATAAAGAAAGTTCTTTCCAGTTAGTATCGTGCGCGTCTGATCGGACTCACTTCGGCCGCCGCACTTCAGGCAAAAAGGATATTAATTGCGGCCCCTGGATACCAACAACACGCCATCCCAAGAAGGCAGTCCCCAGTCCCCAGATCCCATTTTCCCAGCGTCTGAAAAGTAGACAGAACAAACTGCCTCCACATACTCCCGATTGTGTCCACGACCGGGTAAATTGGGCGGCAGGTTGAACCACCCGGCTGGCGACGGCAGCGAAAAAGTATGGCACCGTATGCCTATGTGCGCAAAAACAAAGATACAGGCTGCAAAAGCATCCTTTCACTCGATGTTTCCAAGCATCGTTTATGAACTACTCGCTAAAACATCCATTTTCTCGAAAAGCTCGAATGGGGCCAATCGATTTCCCAGCTCCTCCTTGCCAGACGACAGGCCGATGCTCACCGTGAGAAGATGGCCTTGATGCTGGGCACAGCCTCCCGGACACAGCAGGGGGGGAGGGGCCAGGCCACGTGCTTCCCAAAGTCCTTCATCTGGTGGACGTTCCTAAAAAAAAGGAACAGGGTGCTTAATGACATCCATGCACCACACGCTGTACATTGTGCTAAAATAAAAAAAAATAAAAAAACTAATGCAACAGTGCATTTTTTTTTTTTTTTAAGTGAAACGTTTTTTGGCACATTGTTCGGCATTTTGTGGAGCCCAAAAGTAAAATATGGATAAAAGCATGGTTGCGGGGCACGACACTCATTCGTTTTGAGTGGACGGGGGGGAAACCATCGCAGTAATAAAGCGTTTGCGCGGGCGGGAATTGAGCCCAGACCATGTAGATTATTGGGCGAGCGCCTTCCCGGCACGTTGCGACACATCGGCGCAAGTTGAAGTGCTATTTGGCGGGAAAGCCCTGCGGGGCATCCGTTCTGCGTCCGACAGACGGCAACATGACACCCTGTCACACATTTTTAAAACCCGGGTTAGCGCCGGTATCTCCATTCCAGGAATTGCCATCGAGCGTACTCGCCACGCATTAAGCCAGTCGCCAAACTAACCGATGAAGAGTGCCGAGAGCATAGACGCCAAACGTTTCACAAGCAACAGTTTTCCAGCAATTGCTATGCATTTTTTTCAGATTGTGACGATCGGAAGAACACGTCGTCCTCATGTTGTATTTTGTATCATCACAGAATCGCCACCACTACATGCGGCACGGCGGGTCTCCACAGTACAGGCTGTTGACTCTGGGGTGCCACGTCTCCGCTGAGCCAATAAAGTTTTTTTTTTTTTTTTTCCTACCCACAAGATTGTTGCGGTGGTATGCAATCAGCTTCCATGCAGTTATGCTCACAAACAATGCAATGAATCGGAAATCCTTAAATCATAAAGGAAAAATGGACTCACATTTTTACATTGTAAATTTTGCAACAATACTGGAATGAATAGAATGGCATTTCTTTTGGAGCCACTTCTAGGACCCTTCTCATGACACCTCCAAAGAGCTTGGTGTATGTCGTTATAAAACACACAGTTTTGTAAATTAATTCTTTATTAAGACATCTAGAGAATGGGACCTAACAAGAAAAATTTTCAAATAATGCCCACAAGGCGACGTAGGTAAGAGTAAATAAAGATAAAGTCATCTCAAGATCTCTTTTTTTTAAATGAATAAAAAACACGGAGTTAAGATGCCCCAACATGAAAGAGATACCATTTCATAACGCTGTACAGCACTTGTATGCGATTGTCATGGATGAGGAAGACACCAAAAACGTATCAAATTTAAAATGTGTAGTACAGTAATCCCTCGTTATAACGAAGTCAATGGGATGGCAAAAGAAGTCAATATAAGCCCCACAACAGCAGCCTTGAAGGTGGACAGGAACACTGCGGAACATTCTGACCGCAGACTTAATCAAACGAACCTTGGTTACGAGCAACTCTCGGCAGCTTTACTGAGTAGAAAAATAAAAAACAGTTTGCCGATAACTTCAGACGGGCATCACTTCTCCTCGAACTGCTCCAGGCATCGCAAGAACACGGACACCGCCGCTGCACAACAGTTTGTTTCAAAGCAGCCGTAGGATGTTTCGCGTTCCCAAGGTTGATGTCGCCTTGTGTTTACCCTGGCTGCACTCAATGTCTAGGATCGCAGCATCCATGGCAGGAGTAACAACGGGAACGTCCGCATCAACAAACGCGAACGAATCGGTTATCCTCGGGGGCTTTGCCCACATGTCTGCACACACTTCTGTAGAGATCGTTGCAACTCTGGGAATCTTGACCCGGCTCGGTGAGCCTGGTCAAAAGAGGAAATACGACGTGCGCACAGCACTTGGCGATGTTTCATCTTCGGGTCACAGGCGTGCTTCCTCTTCCGTGAGAAACATCTTGACCTCATCCAGTACGTCTTGCTCGTACTCTTTGTACGAGCAATCTTCGGCAATTTCGGACTTGGGACGGACACTTTTCTCAACCTCGCAAATCTAAGGAACTTGCAGTAAACACTCTCATATGACACACGTGCATGCCGCAGGTGCACCCATTCAGGTGGACGCATCGAGGGCTCCCAAAGGGATGATCTCCTCAGGGATCCATCGGCTCCATCGGTCCCTTGACCCGATTTCGACAGGAGTCAAGCAGCGTCGGCAGCGGGCAGTATTGTCAAAACGTGGACACTGCTCCGTGGCCGCATTGCCGCACAAGTATCAGAAGCGGTGCTCTCTCGTGCTCTGCCCTCTGTCTCCGGTTTGCTCCATTTTCTCAGTTTGCCGTTTACCTCGGTGGAGAAGGCGGAGGGAATGCAAGGGTCTCCGTGCGCCTTCATGTAGGCTCACATGCTTTCGGCACCTCAGCCTTCGCAATAAGCGTGGTCGGCTGCCGATGCACTTCGAATAATCGGGCTCAAAATGCGTGCATTTCGGTCGGGACCATGTTGAACTCCGATAAAAGCAATAATTAAAAAGAAGTGATTTCTTTATAACGGGAGATCACTCTACTTAAAACATTTCAGAACAAATCAGCTTAAATAGATTTCAGGACGAGATATCTAGGTACCAAAGAAGTTATCCATGATCAAGATAGGGGGGCAACCCTTGCCTCGAGACTTAGTCATCTAAACTTGTTTGAAGGGGGCTAGCAAAGTGAGACGGCTATAGTCACCTGAAGGCAGCCTTGAGATCAAGGATGTACTTGCGCGTGCGGTACTTGCGGTAGCGAGCCAGGATCTTGAGTGCGGCCTTCACCTTGCGATAGTGCATCCTCGCAATGGCACCTCGCCACATCTGGCAATCGAGAACAGAAAAAAAATTAGGGTTATTGAGTTGCAAAGCTATGAAGCCAAGAAATAAGTGACATTAATCTTTGATGACACTTAGAAAAAAACTGTCCATGGTTGAGACCTTAAACTTCAGAGGTCAAAAGGAAATTTCAATGTAACAAATCTTAGCAACCAAGACTGCTCAGAAGATGTCCATCTCAAGTTCACCATATTGCCATGAGACCTGACTGCCTACCACAATACACCAACTTCACCATGCAACTTCGATATCAAGGTTGCAAATGCTAAGAGCTTGTACCGGGAGTCGCGCTTTCACACTCCCGAGAAAAAAAAAGAAGAAAGAAGTGCTACAATGAACGTGCTTTGATCACAGCACCATAAGCAAAGTAGACATGAAGACTCCCCACTGTAAAATACCAAGCAAGTTTCCACGGAACAGTTTGAGATAATCACGAAAGAATGGAGGTGGGCACTTGTTAGGTCCCGGAGCAGAAAAGCATAACGGGCACATGGTAGGGTAGGCACTTGCTTGGTCTAACAGAACATTATGGGAGTAGCACAAGGGTCTGACGCTCTTTTAAGCAACCACGCTGTTCTCGTTAAGCCTGCATTGCACCGGTACTTTCATGTCGAGCTCGAGCTTCACCACTTCACACCACTGCATCTGCACGAAGCTTCATTGCTTTGCTCTGGTTTCTCAGAGGAGCTGACGGGAAGAAGCCCCTCAGTCAATCAGTCGGCAGAAAAGTTTGCTGTGGTAGGTGCTTGATATATCGCTTGCCCGCATTCAAAATGCCTTAAGGGGGGACATGGGCCCAAGTTTCAAATTTTTTTGAAAAAATTCATTTTTCAGTTTTGAGGTTTTCGGTTTTCGGAACTAATTATACACCCTTACACTAAATTTCATAATTATGCACCAAATAGTTATGCTGATATAAAATATTTTTAACACATTGTGAGGCAGTAACAAAGAAGAGGAGTTCAATGTTTGAATGCATTTTTCTCAGTTCCATTTTTTGCTGCAAATTTCATACGAAGGAATCTTTTGTTCGAAGGTAAAATTATTCTGATACCACAATCAAGATGTTTCTGAACTGAAATTTACTTGGAAATCGAGCTATCTACTTTATTTTGTTTTAAGTTAAAGTCCTTATTGAGAAAAGACTAAGTTTTCAAAAATTGACATGGGACAGATATGCATCTCATGTTTTGAGGTAATCACTGTTCCTGAAATACTTACATTTGATTTATAAAAACCAGGTAGCCCGAAGTCCCACATCCCCCACTTTATATTCAAGCAGTTAAAATGATGCTTAATAGCTTCATTTACATATAGATTTCTTAACAAAGAGTGACAAATCTTATGCAGATATGTAAAGTTGTCCTAGAGGGCTGAAAGTTCGCACAGTACACCTACATCTGAAGTTATATCTCCCCTGCAGATTTCATTCCGATCACATGAGTAGTTTAGAAGTTCAACCTCTAGCCAATGTCCCCCCTTAAAAGCAGGTGATGGGCCTTTACTGCGACGTGGAAACTTGATATGACATGGCCGCTTAGTGCAACATATGCGCTTATTGCAACATGGGGTGCATGATCATTTTATTTTTCTGGTAGTCCTAACAACTATTTCCAACATCTTCCAAGCAACCATTATTCAAGCTGCATACAACCATGTTCCTGCTCTTTCAAAGTTGTAAAGCAAGTCCCTCGTCCTCTGTATATCTTCTTTCCACTGCTCATTTTTGTGCATGTCAATCTGCTTAGATTGCCCCTGTCTACAATTACCACATTCTTTTTTTTTTTGCAGGTTTGGGAGTGTTTTGTTTAGGAACACTTTAACCTCAACAAAAGTACCCTCATTGCAGGACTTGATACTTAGTAAACGCTCGGTGGAGCTGGACTTTTCTGCTTCTACCAAGCGTTCAAACCAAAGACTGCAGTACCATTCGTAGTATAAAGTAGTTTGCATCATTTTGCAAAGCCCTGCCACAGAACATTCTGCCTGCACCTTCTGCAAGAAGACGACGATGCGGGGAATGATAGCCAGCCGCTCATTCTCCAGCTTGCTCAGGGTCTGGGGGGAGCGGACAAAGATCTTGGTCCGGCCGTATTTGACGTCGTCCGCAAAGCCAAGCTCATCCACGATAACCCGGCAACCCTCCTGGTCATTGCCACCATAGAAGTTGGGCCATGTGTACTGCGTTATCATCTTGTACCTGGGCCGAAAGAAGAAAAAAAGAAAAAAAGCAGCATTTAAGGCTAGTGCATTGCACGAGAAACATGCTGATTCTCCAGTCTTCTACACTGAGAAATTCCACGCGGACTGCCACCTGCAGAAGCGACCAGAAGTGCCGATGCTGTTGCTTGAAGGCGATTTCTCTGAAGGGTATGCTGCACTTTTGTGTTAAGAATTCTATCCATACTTGACATTACGATGTTAGGGTCTAACCATAGAGCCTCTAACGTGTCTCACGATGTAGCAGCCGGAGTGTCGAACCGAAATTTTTATTGTTCCGGTTCCGGTTCACGGCTTTCGGTTCGGTTCGGGTTCAGTTCCAGGGAACAAAAAATAACGTTTCGAACCGGTTTGAACCGCTAAATTAAGAATATTTTTTCCGCGTTGTTCTGGCAATATACACTATTTACGCCTTGAAACGATTAGCTATATAGTTTCTTCCATCGTCCGTGCAATTCCCTTTTGTTTTCAGGTACCAAAAATATGAAAATAAGTTAGTATATAATTTCGACACAACACTAGAATAAAATCTACATTAACGTACATAATGTCGTGTTCATACGACTCAACATCCATTTGTTTACCAGTCATATATATTTTACCTGAATCAAACTGTTTAAGCACAACAGTAAAGTTTTGAGTTTGTTGGTTCATACCTGTAAATAGATCAGCTTGAAATTTAGAACTATGCTGTCCTTTCCTGTCCTTTCTTCGTGTTTAAATAAAATTCTAAAGTTCAAGCTGCATGATCTATTTACACGGTATAAAATGTCGCAAAGTGTGGTAGGTTGCACAAAATGCCCGTGATTGGTACAACTTTGTGTCGCAGTATTAAAAGTTAAATCGTGATTGTGTCCTTGCACTAGGAAATTAATTGCAGCACATAAAATCATGTAATGGGCACCTCGTGGCCATATTATATCATGAAATTTGGTATACGAAATACGTTTCCCAATATATATATATATATATATATATATATATATATATATATATATATATATATATATATATATATATATATATAAGATATATATATATATATATATATATATAAGGACGAAACAACTAAGCTAAAAGCAATGAAATTTTCAACAAAAAAAAAATGTCACGAAAGTTTAAGGACAATCCCTTTCAGTCTATTTTTTATACAAACAACGAGCGGCAATCACAATGCTTATTTTTCTAAAAAAATATTGTTTAGACGAAGCACCGCGATGCACGCGACTATAATCATGCATAAAGGAGTAATCGAAATTGTTCACTCGAATAATCCACAAGCACCTTCGCACTCAGATCGAATCTGGCCCGAAATAGCGCTTGCCCAGGTGAACATTTTCTTATACAGGATAAGCTAACATAGCCTGGCTGTTGCGGTTTGTTCTTTACAGGATGCCGGACAATTTAATTTGCGAATGAGCATCACCCTTGCTAACTGATTATTTTAACGCGAGAGCGTTAAGGAGCACATGTCGCGGAAAAACCGATGTCGGTGGCGTGACTAGAAAAACCTGATTGGTCGATGGGTGATGACGTCACAGCTACATGCCCTCGCGCAGAAATCTCAAACAGCTCACAATGCTCACGTGAAACGTGACATCACGCGTGTAATAAGTGATTAAAACATAACGTGTAACGCGAATTAAAGGTGGCCGTATATCTCAAACTATTTTGCTTTATAAAGTAATTCCTTTGCCTTAAATAAAGCAATTTAAGAATTTTTGGCGGGATTCGAAGCCCTTCTGCCACAAGTCAGACACGCTCCTGACTAAGCCACGCGAGGCACGCTTGCAGGGTTACGAGGCCCGTTAACGCTATCGCGTTCCACTTTTAAAGGTGAAGCTTAAGCGTCCTCCAAGTTTCTTTTTTGTTAAGTAAAACGAAGTAGTATTTCATGCTCTACTCGACATGGCAGCTGCTTAATTGGACAGCTTCCGAGAGTTTGCGTGCGTAATCGTCACAGTTCCGCCTCGCGCCCCTGTGTACTTTGTTTTTATCCAGCCCATAGACACATAAAAGTAATGTTTACCACATAAAAGTGGAAATAACAGACTTCTATATGTTTAAGAAGTTATATCTGGGAGGAACACAGTTATTTGAATCAGTTTCAAATTCAGATATCTGTGTAAGGCTGTCCTAAATCACTTACAACGTGCCTGTCGAGGATAAAAATGCCAAAAAATATTGGCGAAACACTTTTGAGATACTTTAGGGGGCATTGCTTTAGGGTGGTCAGCCCTTTATTTATGTTGTCAAATATTCAGTTAGTAATTAAATATATTTTTATAATCATCAATAAATTTTACTTTCTAAAGTTCACATAACCGCTTGAGACCGACACGGAAGGACAATACTCCAATCAACCCAAGCTGTGGAGTCTGCGTAAACATGTTTTTCTGTTTGCTGATTGGCAGAGTGAAATATCGGGTTGTAGTGTACGCTAAAAAGGACTCTGTGCTCACATAATCGATCGAAAGGAAAATACACGAAAAGTGCAAAAAGAGGGAGATAAGTAATAGTATTTTTCTAAATAATCCCTGACAGAACGCCTAACTGCAAAAAGAGATGCACAAAGATGCATGAAATAAAATTCCTAATTTTACATAAATAGCGCCAAGGACAGACTAAGATTCTTAAAATCTTAATATAAATCACATTTCATCAGCTTGCATGACAGAAAGCTGAACTCTTTAACATGGTATGCACGTGACGTCATCACACTATATGCTGGTGGTGAATATGATTTCTTCTTGCAAAAAAAATCTAATTCAATGGTGAAAAATGCATGCTGCAGGACGTTCAAGCTCAGCGAAAGCCAAGTATATAAAAGGTACATATTATTATTATTAGTGGATTGTCGTGAGGAATGGCGTGAGCGTCTGGCACGAAGAAAACGCGCCTTTTGGCAAGAGTGTTTCGCAAACATAGTTTCCGGGGCCCCGCTTTTTGGTCTGCACCGAAGATGCGAGGAAGAGGAACCTTTACAACGCAATATGTTTTTAAAACTAACCCCCTGCCCCTCACTCCCCCCCCCCCCCCTCACACACACACACACTTCTTTTTCTTTTTTTTTTTTTGGGGGGGGGGAGGGGGGGGGGGTATGATTAGCGTTGGCGGCATAGGATGGGTAACAGGCCACGTGGCCGCTTCTGGATCAGAGTTGAGGGGATGAACGATGCTCATATTTCTCTAATTTTTTGGCGACTGCCATTGCCTAGAAAGAACAACTAAGGCAAGTTCATTCAGTTATTAACGTTAGGGAGCGGTTCTAAGTACAGTATAGACCACTTACGATGTAACCGCTTATAGTGCAGGACCGGGTATAACGCGGCTTTTTTAATCCACCGGTTCGCCTCCCATAGAACTCCATGTAATTTCATACCGCTTAAAATGCAGGCGCGTGAAGGGAAATACCAGTTATAGTGCGATTTTTGGAGCAGCCCGGCGACCGCGCCGACTGATTGACGCAGAGAGCACACTTGCCTGTGCGACACTAAATAACAGCGCGAGCGGCACTCGCGGGGCAAGGAGGTTGCTCGAAGAAGCGGGGAGAAGCGAAGAGAGGCTTCAGTTGCCATAGCGACAATGGGACGCACGCACGTGTCGTTCACGTGCGTGCGTCCCTCTGCTGCGTCGGAAACATTGGAAACAACCGCAACGACAATCGCAGGTCGAGGAGAAGTGTTCGCACACGTTGCATGCCGGTCGCGGGCCGGCCGGCCGGCTGCTTCTATCCGCAAGCATGGCGTCGGTTTTGATCGTCGACGTAGACGGCGTGGTAGAAGCTCATCGTTCCGCGTAAAAGCGCTATCCTTGACTGTTAGTTTTCGTTGTGTGTCGCTATGATAACCCAGCACATACTAGAAGGGAAGATCCACCTACTCGTGCGGCGATGTTGTGGCGGCACTCTCAAGACGGCAGAAACGCCCGTGTCGTCGTGTTTGTTTACTTCGACTACAGTGGTGCTTTCTAAGCATTTGTGTTTTCGAACATCGCCCGGATTTCTTATTTGGAGCATTTCATGCCTGTGCTCAAGTTGAGAGTATTACTGGCGCGTACCGTATAAAGGATGCGAATCTTCAAGCGTTTTCATCGCCAGAGAAAAGTGATTAGGGTTAGCAATCCTGAACACTCGCAACATTTGTCCGCAACCCGCGACGCCGTTAGAAGGCTGTGCCAGGCAAAAGTCGCTCATTTCTTTCAAAATGTGTGACACACTTGAGAGAGAAGTGTACTAGTCTGTTGAAATAAAGACTCCTCAAACTAAGCTTTATTTTTCATCTAACATAAAGTAAATTCTTTCACAAAGGTAAGTTGTTTGATGGCATGCATTTTGGCCTGAAAAATTGATGCTTTGGTTATACAGTAAAACCTCGTTATAACAAAGTTGAAGGAGCGATCGTAATTATTTCGTTATAACCATTAGTTTGTTATAGCCAATGTCCATTTCTTCCCTATTAGCAAGCAAGGGGAATTATGATTGCTTTGTTATATCCATTAGTTTGTTATATCCCATTTTGTTATAACGAGGTTTTACTGTAGCACGCTACCGCTTATAGTGCGGATTTCCGCGACTCCCGCGACATACGTACGTTACATGCGGTCTACACTGTAGTATTTAGTGAATGTATAACATTTTTCCTTTAAAATCTTTTAAGCAAAATACAGAGGTGGCCAAAACTTGGGCAGTAACTTGAGAACGACGCTCTTGTGAGACATAGAGAGACTGCCAACGTTCGGCTGTCCCTCTGAAGCCACTAGGGTCTTTTTTTTCTTTTGTTTTTTAAGGTTTCTTCCCGTACACACATGCAGTTCTATGTAACGTCTTATTAATAAGTCGCATTTAGTTGTTTCAATACTTCTATCCTCGGGGACATCTCTCGGGTGCAGTTCAGCAACAATGAAAAAATGTTTGGGTGCCTCAAGGATGTAAAATTGTCATGCAACATTGTTTTGTACTTTAAGTAAATACTGTTAAGAAGTAACCCCTGAGGTTGATAGCTTGCGAAAACATCCATTAGTTTCCCCCTCTGCGCAATAGCAAATACAGAAAAAGTAAAGGAAAGAGACAGCTGTCGATCCCCTGCTCAACTCGCAATTTGAACAAACGGGCATGTGATCTGACCCTAATTATACACCGTCAGTCTTCATCATAGTCATGCGCTAGGGCTTGGAAAGCAAAAGCTAGGGCGGAGCCTCAGATATTGTTAGAGTTATGCTATTATCAAGTTTAATTTAACATCAGCCAATACACGAATATTTGGCGATGCTGATTGTCATGAACCTGATCACTCGACTCGGGGTTATGAAAATCGCTTACGTCACGGTGTTATGTGACTCTCGGTGCAAAATCGTGATGCCATGTAACATCACCCTGTCAACAAAGTTAATGTCACATGACGTCAGATGTCACGTGACATTACTTAAGAGCATGTATTGACACCATGACTTCAGGTGACACATGGTTAATCATAGTGCCAATACAAAAGCGCCACGAAAACCCACAATTTATCATACATTTCAATTCTGTATATGACGATTTGATCAAGAGAGAAATACAGCTGCCAATTTTTTATTCCCATATATTCATTTTGTGATACTAATAAAAAGAAAAAAATTATCTTGAACCGTTTTGAACCGGTTACCATTATATTTTTTTTTTCGGTTTGGTTCCGGTTCAGTTCCAAGATGGCGGCGAAGATTTCGGTTCGGTTTAGTACCGGTTCGGCTAAAAATAACGGTTTGGTTCCGGTTTTCGGTTCGGTTCGGTTCCGGTTCGACACCCTGGAAGCAGCTGAGCACAGATAAAGTACCAGGAGCTACTGAACGTTACTTCTAAGCACACCAAACTTTTTCCTTAGCAGGAAAAGAAGAAAGAAAGAGGCATTTACGTATAAAGTTAGCTTTCGTTTGCCAAAAGATATTTCCTTTCTAAATCTCGTTTTGCATAAATATGGGAAATGTCGATATCCAACATGAAAGAATGTACTCGTCTGTGTTTCGTCCTCTCTATGTTTTGTTCTTTCGTTATCTAGTATACTTTGCCAACACGCTCGCTAAGAATACGACCGATACCCAATCTCTAGTACCAAGCTACTACAGAACAACTGATACTAGTTGAACTGTTAAGATACTAGCCACACTGTTTGTTCCACATCCTCAAACTTCTTGTTCTGCAAAAATAAATGAGCTCCCGCACTCACACTAATACAGCATCTCGCTCCATGGGCGTCAGGGCAAGAAAACATGACAATTAAGGTTGAGCCAAAAGTATTGTAAGGCCGACCTACACAATCGTCTTCTGCCAGGAAGAAAACCAGTTCCCAATTTCCTCCTCTCTATTCCCTCTCGCACTCTTCTCTCCATTCCCTCTAGCAATTTTCTACTCCTCTCCCTCCTCACAGAAGGGAGCGTTCCCTCTTCCCCAAATGGAGAGAAGGAATTGAGGGAGAATTTCTTTCTTTCTGGCTGCTCAACACCTTTAAAGGAACACTGACATCCCCCCCAAGACTTTATTTTTATTTTTTGCCAGGCAATTTAATATGGTGTCAAAAGACTACCCAATCAGTATTTTGCTAGTGTCACATATATTTTTAACACAGTAAAAATAGGTAACTGCTCGAAACCTAAGCTGAACTGGGGAAGAAGAAATGTGGAGGAGGACAGAGTTTCCAGAAGTCCCGTAGCTAAACCCAACCCCCCCCCTTTTTTTTTCTTTTCTTTTTTTGGTTATGTGATGCAGACAAAAAAACGCGCTTGTTGCTAGTTGCACGAAGACCGCAAAAGTCAAGCACTTTGTGCTTGACATTTGCACGTCTTTCAAGCTCTTACCAATTCATGTTTGTAAAACGAGCGAATCCTTCAGCCAGGAAAAGGGGCGACGACTCGATGACGTCCTCGTGCAAATCAACTTGGGCATGTCGTACGGAATAAATCCTAATTGTTTTGATCAGAGAAAGATTTCTCTTTCGAAGCTAGACAGATTTGCCAGTACTGCAAACAACAGTTCTAAAATAGAGGTCTCACGCCCGTCATCCACCGCCATCGCTTAGTCTGCTTCGTCCAGCCATCCTGCCCGCGATACAATGCCATGTTGAGAATTATGCAAAGAATGCACAAACGTGCTTCCAATTCCGTGTGTTAATTTTTTTTTAATAAATGTATTAATAGTTAAAAAAAAAAATTCAGATTTTTTTTTCTATTTTTAATATTGAGTGTGCTGGTTGTCTGACAACATTGAAGGGGAGACCGCCCGAGGACACCCCACTCTACCCAGGGCGCAGAGCCCTTGAGACATTGGGCCGGTGGGGGCCTTCATTGGGTGCTCTAAACACAAAAAGAATGTCTTCCGAAAGCCAGGAAGATGTGGGGTTGCCAGCCCTCAACAAAAAGAATACTGGCGTGCGCGTGCATGCGTGCATGCATGTGCCTGTTGGTGTTGTGTTTTTCAAAGAGCCCAAAGGTGCCGACTGAAATGTCCACCAGCTTCCCGTATGTTCACTGTACATAAAAGTTCACTTCAGTAATCCCACTCTAGTTTCGTTTCCTCAGGACTATGCCATCCATCAGCGAGCAATAGCCCCAGACTCCTGGTTCCGCACCCGAGATCGTCCCCTCCCAGTCGCAACAGTGTGCCTTCGATGACCCACGACTTTGGCTGTATTTGGTGCGCGCGTCTAAACCACAGAGAATGGCACGTGAACAGAAAGAGAAGGGTGAGCGCGACTCAAACTTGCCAGTTCTTGACCGGCAGTTTTCGGGCAGAAAGAGAAGGAATTTTGAGCCGCAAATTGTGTTCGGGTGGTCGGGCTCCCCTATGTCATGTACAACTAAAAACCTTGGAGAGCATAAATACCCCGTCAGCGTCCCTTTAAGGAAAGCAACTCCAAGGTGTGCTGACCTGCGTAGGAAGCGAGTGTAGTCCTGCCTGTAGGCAAAGCCCGCTCGCCGCACCCTGACGTTCTCCAGCAGGCCGAGGTAGTTCACCTGGTGCCGTACTCTCTCCTCGTCAAACAGAATCGGAGACTTGTGCTCGTTGGGCTTGATGCAGCGCACGTAGAAGGGCTCCTGTCAGACAGCAAGGGAGCACATGCTTTTTTTCATCCAAGCTCAAAATCAAAGTGGCAGCTGTTACAAGAGCAGACCCTTTAAAAGTAGGCTTTTCTCGAAAGGGAGGCTCAGCATTACACAAACCGACCCTTCAGAAAGAATTTAGGCTATGTTCGAACGAAACTCGGCAAGGCAAGTCAGATGTGCAGTCATATCAAAGAATGGTTGGCCTCCACTGTCGAGAGAACATTGCCCACATACATACCCGGTGATTTTACCTTGCTTCACTCAAAACCATTAAACTTGCCAACCATCCAATCAAAAATCAATGATTTGAGTTTACTGAGTTACAAGGTGGTTTTATCTGACCTCATTGTACATTATCAAACTCGCCAACCATTCTATTGAACAAAAATTGTTTGAGTTCACTGAGCTATCAAGTGGACTCCCACCTCACTGTACACTACCATTAAACTTGCCAACTATTGTAATGAAAATCAATGACTGGAGTCTACTGAGTTACCAGGTGGTTTTATCTCACTTCACTATACTTCATTAAGCTTCAAAATCCCTTTCTCGACAACCAACTAATTCATTCTTGAAAGTAAACATATTCGACAGATATCTGCCTGGTTGGGTGAGAGTGAAAGTCCAAAAATGTATCTCCAACTAAAATTTCAAAGGCAACCCGATGTTTCAAAACCAACATGGTTTCTTCTTCAGGGGTGACTGAAGGCACGCGGACACAGCAGCAGCTGCCTCCGTGACCTGACGGAAAAGCTGAAGAGACGACCATCTCCATAACTAAAAAGTCATTTTACAATTCTTTAAATTTCTAAACTTCTCCTTTTTTAATTTTTCCTTTTCTCTTTCTTTCTTTTCTGTTAGAAGACGAAGAGGTTAGGAGCTGCTGCTGTGTCCGCGTGCCTTCAGTCACCCCTGAAGAAGAAACCGTGTTGTTTTGAAACGTCGGGTTGCCTTTCAAATTTTGGTTGGAAATACATATTCGGACTTTAACTAATTCATTCGCTTGGAAGAAAGCCTTAGTGAATTTGAACTTGTATTGTGTAGTACGTGGAATCTCGGGTTTTTCACAAAAATGTTTGATATACACCAGCTCACTTGCACCCTTGCGTTCTGTTAATCTTTTAATAAATATCATTCACAAGGTAAATGGTACTACAAGCAACAGTCGAACCTATACCTTTGATGCTAGATTCTGGACCAGGGCTATCATGGAGTTCTTGAAGAGTGTTCCTGCAGTCAGGGGACGTTTTGTTACCTAAAGAGAGTGGAAAGAGATCACTGAGCTACAGTCTCTATTCATTGATATAGTAACTTTTGCATGCGTAAACAAAATGTTCTATTCAGCAAGGTCACAACAAATAAAGTTTGAAAATTGTCTTAGGGCTTACTTCCTTGACATTCTGTGCTCCTTCTGGCCACATTGACTTGATCAGGGGGTCAGTGCTGAAATGAAACAAGAAAATGTGAGTACTTGTAGGCAGGGATGGGCAGTATTTCAAATACAAGTATTTGAAATACGTATTTCAAATATTTTGTGTATTTTGCATTGGTATTTAATTACGAATTTGTATGTATTTGGACATGTATTTCACGTGTGTATTTAAATACTAAAACGTGGGTATTTCAAATACAATTGTAATTAAATACAATTTTGTGGGCGAAAATACATCCCTCAAATTTATTGTCACTGTCCAGAGCAGGAAGAAAACTATGTTCTGCACCAAATGCAGTGTCTCTCAATCAAGCACAAGCGTTTAGTGACTTTGTGATTACAGTGCTAGACCAGGGCAAGAATAGTGACGAAATCGGCGTTCACAGACAGACTGGCTAAATAAGTGCCTGTGACAACTTGTGATGCTTTCCAGCCTGATTTCCGTCCATATTTTTGCCTGGAACATTCTAAAGGCGCGGGTCGTCCAGATTGTCGTAACTGGTGCGAGTTGCAACAATAAAAAATTCTCTAGCTAGTGCTGCACGTCTTGGTCGTCTCGGTTCTTTGTTTGTCTATACCAAAATGTAATCGTCCAAGCTGATTACCTATTACGTCCAAGCTGATCACATTCTTTCGTGATATTTCTATTCCGTTACTAGAGCCTCGCACACTAACTCCCGAGTATGCGATGCAAAATTAAAATGAGATACCCAGAAACCCGTTGCAGGTGCCCTGAAGTCGCTGATGCATATTTTGAGGAGTGTATTTGGAAAAGTATTTGGAGGATACCAAATACATTTGGTTGTATTTGTATCTTGTACTTAAATGCTTTTTTGGAAATGTAATTAGATTTGTAATTAAATACATTTTTGACGAAGTATTTTGTATTTCAATACATATTTGCATGTATTTTGCCCATCCCTGCTTGTAGGGTGCTCTAATGGACAATCAAGCATAAATATGAGTCTTTAATTGCAAGGCAGGGAGCGAGAGGAATTAATCCCTAAAAAGGGTAATTTCAAGACCAGAGCTGCTTTTCTTTTATTTATGCATTTAACCTCAAGGAACAGTGGCATGCAGTTGTTTCAAGAAGAAAGTGTTCACCAGAACTGGAACTTTGCCATAATGAAACTTCCCCAATATATAAAATTTCAGCACCAGTGATGTGATTGGCCTAAGCTGTTTTGCAGCACCTTTTGGAGCAGCCAAAACAGTGTTTTGGAGCAGCAAAAGTGGCTTTTGGAGCAGATATTCTTTGTTATAAGTGCTGGGCTAACGAAGGGCACTTTGCTCGCCGCAATAAACAGATTATGGTCAAGTTAGACCACCTGGGAGTCTGTCAACATGTAACTGATATGCCAATCACATGAAACAATTTGCAATGCTTCAGTTAAATGATACATATATACATACCCACTAGATATAAATAAGAACCAATCTGCACATATTAAAATTCAATTGGAAAATGACCAGCTTAGTAGTAAGTGTCACAGCATTAGGTTGACTAGTTTTATAATATAGTAAATGGAAGCAGTCTAAGAATGATTAAACATGTAACTACTGCAGTGTAATGCAAAAATGTACACAAGACAAAGGTGCATTACGACTAGCGAGTGCTTTTCTTCCTTTCTTTTCAAAATTTTTTGCAAGGCTGCTGCAAGCCTCACTTTGCCTTCGGCTAGCATCGAATGTCCACTTTCAATGTCTCCAAAGAGACATTCAGACATCCCATAAGTGTACAGTGCTGTAGGTATTTTTTGAGCAATTCCGAAAAACCGCTTGCCACCGTTTTACTGGTTCCCGACATGCCAGATTTTCGTCAAAAGTAAGCACGCGTTAAAAAAAATGGATTGCAAGTGTCCCGGCTGGTGCCTCTGTCATGCAGTCATGTTCGCATGCACATGAGGGCAACTTCGGCAGGCTTGCAGTTGCATGTGCTTCGCTGCGCAAGCAGAGATGGCTGTTGGATTGAAACCGAAACCACGCCACTCCGCTCCGCTTTGTCACCAACTGGTTCCCCAGATTGTATGAAAAATGTAACTGTTCAACATAAGACAAAAAAAAAAAAAAAAAAGTTCAGTGGCACGTGCTTGCCAGGTGAGGTACAAGCTCAACAAACAGGAAAAAGAATCTGAGCACAATGGTGCAAGAAATTGCGAGCCAGGGTCAAAAAGTTCTTGGAGTGCTTTGTGCAATGACGGAACTCGAGACAAAAAAGTGCTATGCGGGTTCGGCATGCAGACATTGCCCTCTTTGCTTTAGTTCACTTCTCTTCATCAACTTTCTTTCGCGGCACATTTTTCACGTACCAGGTCTCGGTAGCCTTTCGAAAGAAAGGCTACCGAGAGAAACCTAGGTAATCAATACTTTGACAAAGCAGTCTTTAAGTTAAAGAGGAATTTTCATAGGAGCTTAGGATTTAAACAAGAACAGGAATGTTGATGAACATGCGACGGTCCTTGCGTCTCAATTTAGAAACTGTTATATTGGCAGCGACGTAGGGACAGCAACACGCGACGTCGCACGACCACGGTGACTGGCAGGCAGGGACAAAATATAGTTTTCCCACAGACGTTGCTCTCAGGAGCGAGTGCTTCAGCTCACAAAGTAACTCCCGCCGCGAAAAAACGTGGTTTCGTTTCACAGCATGACTGTATGGCTGGTACTCGGCACGCTAGCAACGGAGCGTCCGCACACGCCCGCGCCTATCGTTGAAAAAAATTTTAAGAAGACTCGTCGAGACCCACGCAACGACAAGAGCATGAAACGAGAAACCGGATGGACGATTCATGCGGGGTACTTTGTGGCAGGCGGCCGCTTGCGCCAACTAGCTCACGCATGCTCAATTACGATACTCGGTATAGTTTTGACAGGCGACCGAAATCGGTCCTTTGGCACAGGCTTGGCGCAGATTACCCATATTTTGGCAAAATCTAGCAGAATGTAGCAGGGTTAGCCCCTTGGCAGTTTGGCGCAGCAATCCCATCACTGCAGCACATAATTTCTATAAATATATTATTGTAAAATCTGCCCTAAAATAAGGTATTAGTGCACATATTTTTGAATGTGGCAATTATCAAGAATCTGGAGTTTCTACCATCTACTAATTGGTGACTGGGTGATTTCCTTAGTTCGACGTGAGTGCGTTGGTGAAGTTAAATAAAAACAGAAAGGGTAAACATAGGGACGGACAGAACAGCACCTCTTTCATTGTCCATTTAATTCTGCTAAACTGCCTCTGACGCCATTGTAACGAACGACCTTCACGGCCGCACCTGGACGCGGAGCGTCACCCCTTCTCGAACATTCCCAAGGACATGACTTTCGCTGACAACCTCGAGCCACGATTATCTGCCCCGCTGAACATCCGTACCGTCGACGAAAGAGGAAGACAAGCCGTCCTCGATACCGGCTCAATTAAGGTGCTGAAAAGGAAAGACATTCTCCTCGAGGCGTCCAAGCAGGAACCAGCGGCCACGGTGATCCCTGCTAAGCCGAAAGAGGGAGATGAGCCGTCAGCGATAACTGCCCGATTATCAGCGTCCAAGGTCCTTTCCGTCCCAGCTAAGGAGGGGGACGGTATCCTCCGTCGTGCCCTCTTGGAGTAAAAAAAATGATTAACCTGTGTGTGCAATTGTGCGTGCCCATAAGCAGTGCCTGGACGTTTGGGGATGACCTTCTCGGGGTCAACTCGCTGTAGAATTTCGGAAGCAAGGCCAGATCTCAAGCGTCCCTCAGGGAACGGCTGCCGCCACAAGCCTTGAGGAATCGGCGGAGCAATTATCCTCTGTGTGTGTCTGTGCGTGCTCGCAGGCGGGGCCTGATCATTTGGGGAACGGCATCCTGGCATAGGGACGTAGGGAAAGGGGACCTTATAAAAAGCGCGGTTTTACGCACTCTCTTCGTGTTCTCATGTTGTTCTCATGCTGAACGGCAGACTGTACATAGAATGTAAATAAACAGTTTGAGAAGAGACACCCTGGCTTCCTACCAACTCTGCCTGATGTCCTGGGCAACGCATGGCTCCAGCGGAGATCGACTATGTGGACAAGCCCCGAGTCTTTACACCATTGACAGCTATGCTGAATTCCTTTCTCACTGAACACTTTGTACTAATAAAACTAAAGGCTTCAAACAATGCTCGAAGTAACAAATTAATGCACCTACTATTAAAACCAGTGGGGTGGCATTAGTAGGCCGTAGTCGTGTTCGAAGAGAGGATTATGAATTCGAAGCAAAATCAAACCGAATGGTGGTTATGGCCGAATATTTTCTAATTGAGTACTAAATAATTTCTCTAAGCATTTCAGCTAAACTCAGCTGAACACGTGAAGGTTGTTCCCAAGCTTCCATTTCTAAGCCAAATTAATTTAAATCAGTCTACATTTATCGACTGCATTATCAGAAGGTCAAATGTGTACATTGGATGGCGAGTAAACAACACATTTGACATAAAATTAAACTTAGAGAGATTCACGGGGATTTGTAAACATCTCTTCAATCAAGAATGGTTAATGCAGGTTGTCAGGGCTTCTTTGCCTAACACTCACTCATGCATAATAGTCAGTTTAGTTTTGAATATTTTACTGGAATGTAGATATTCACATGTCCCAAGTTTCAGTTTCTTTTTAAATAAACCAGGTGCCTGTGTGCACCCTCCCACTTAAAAAGCGTGGCTGCAACACCTCTACTTTTCAAACCGTTCATCAAGGCAGGTTTTCCCCTTTGACTTCCTACTCAGCACCGATAGACCGCAGAAAAGCAACATCCGCGGAAGCGAGCCCCACAGGTGTTGTTTCTACAGTGCTCCGGTGCCCGGTAAGAAGCACGTTTAACGGGCTAACCTGACGGTCACGCCATCAACACTTCAAAAAATCGGAATACCGCAGTTCAGCTCGAAGCGAACTACTATTCAAAAATATGAATATTTTCACAACACTAGTAAGCAGGCAACCAAAATGGCACGTCACCATCCCCTCTCTGTGATGTACTGATTCCCAAAACACTTCAAAGAGTACAGGCTTCAAACAAACTGAGTAAGATGCAGCATCTTCACCTGTTGTAGAGCAGACGTTTGAAGTCCTGGAACAGTGTGTCTTTGTTCTTGTCCAGGAAGCCCTCGATAGAATAAGTCACGTCGCCAGCATAGTGCAAAATCTTGAAGTTTTTGTGGTGCTCTAGTGTCTTGTCTGTGGGTGCCAGCTGTGAAAACCAATTCATCATATAAAAAAGAAAAAATCAACACTGCATGCAAAAGAAAAAACTATAGAGATACCAGTACTACTAAAGCAATTTTTAGAAAAAACCAGACATTTGGAGCAGATTAAATGTAGTCTGCAAGATTAGAAAATATTTTCTAGTATAAAGTGCAACCATCACTAGCCACAGTCACAGCAGTGCTGTTGTAATCTGATCTTAGAGTGAACTGATTCCTTCAACATCGAGGAAACTTATAAATTCGCTGCAACAACAGTAGTTTGCGCTTGGGTGTGTAGAAACTCGGTAGAGCATTAGAGCTTGGGCATAGTTTATCATGATTTCGTCACCAGTGCTGATGTTGAACAACATAACAATAGTTTTAGCACAAGACAGTAGGAACAAAACACCGGCCCGAGACCGCACTCACCCTACGGCTTGTGTAGTGTTTGTGGTTGGCAAGCTTCTTGTCCAGTGACTCGAGAAGCATCTAAAGTACATAGGAAAGAAAAACAAGGATGTCGTGCATTACAAAGCGAGTTCAATTTCAATTGCTACAAACTCAAACTTGAGTCAACAACAGGATCCGAGGTCATCGCAGGGCAACATAAACTGAACTAGAGGGAATGTGATTAGCTAAAGATGGGGGTTTTCTTGCAGTAGACACGAGCACAGCTAGAGAACCCATTAAACAAAATGCAAGGCAACATGCAGTCCATGAATGCTCGCTGAAAATTTTAATTACAGAAGCAAAGGAAAGGGGAAAGTATCAGATATTTTTGAATGATTGTAAAAGGTATTGTAAAGGCAGCAAAGCCCACTGGAAAACAAGTTTTACTAAATATAAGTAACATGGTCCGCAACAAAGAATGTAAAACAAAATTAAATTCAATGAGCATTACTTTTATAAAGTGAGCATGATGATAGATATATGAGCAAGACTGAAAAAGAATTAACAATGGCCCTTTCGCCCCCCTTCAGCTGTGCTGCTTGGCAGATAACTCGCAGGAACCAAGTTACTTAAAAAAATTGACACCAATCACTGCCAGTAGAGCACTTTGTAGAGTACTCACGGCATCAGTGACCTTCCCAACGTTGAGGCATGCCTCGTCAGCCAAGGCAAGGATCCCGCGGTGAGGCTCTTCAACAAGGTCACAGATGATCTAAAGGCAACAATGATAATTAGGCTAGGTAGCTTCAAAGTGAATGGCTAGACATTCAGATGCTAGCTCTGGTACTAACCCAAAGACAAAAATGCTAGTTTCGGTAATAACTTGGAATACAAAAGTTAAGACAAAGTGTGTAACTGAAATGCGAGTTAGTATTTTTCTTGCAATTACATAAAAAACTGAAAGATTCTACATGAGAATTTTAAAAGTCTAACAGTTTGTACGATTTACTCACAGGGTACCCTTCTGGACCTTTGGGATATGTCAGATTGTTTTGCTGCTTAATACTACATAGTAGTGTCAGAATTCTGGCTCATCTGTTATTATAAGCTACACTACATCAATGACCTCCCTCTTTGTGTTTCTTCAACCATCTGCCTTTTCACAGATGACTGCGTAATCTACCGTACTATATCAAGCACCAGAGACCACCCATCCCTGCAAACTGACTTGTCATCCATTGCAAAATGGTGTGATAATTGGCAGATGTCACTAAACCTAGATAAATGCAAAGTACTCACCTTTTCTCGTCTTTTGTAACCGTCTTCTTATAACTACAGCATTAACAATATTATACTCGGTTCATCCTCATCTTACAAATATCTTGGTCTTCATATAACCACCGATCTAACATGGACCACCCACGTCAATCACATTGTTGCTAAGGCAAACAGCACACTCTGTTTTCTCTGACGGAACATAAGACTCGCACCCCTAAAGTAAAACAAATTGCATATCTAACATTAGTACGCCCAAAACTAGAATATGTTGCATCCATATGGTCTCCGAGGCAAACTTATCTAAAAGACGAACTAGAATGTGTCCAAAGAAGAGCATTACGATTTATTTATTCAGAGTATTCTTTTCACACAAGTGTGTCTGAACTGCGTAAACGAGCAAACTTCCCTGAACTCACCTTAAGGCGGAAAATATATTGTTTGACACTGTTTTACAAGATTTACCACCATAACCCAACAATTAGAAATAAACTATTTCCCTCCTCCCACTTCCTTTTTTCCGAGATTAGATAACAGCTGTAAAATACAAACCATATATGCATCGACTTCTTACGCTAACTCTTTCATACCTTTTACAATTAATGAATGGAACACTTTGCCTAATGACATAGTCACAGCTCACAATATAGATGTATTTAAAAAAGTGCTTGGCGAATTTTTAGAATCCACAATGAACTAGCACGTTTTGAACATAAGTGCATGTGAACTTTTTGTCATCTTTTGTTTGAATATTTTGTTGATGATTTTTGTTTTGTTGTTCATGAGTGTATATGCTTATATGATTTTCTTATTGTCCTACAAATATGAGCTGCCCATCCCTTGTATAATGCCCTGTTTTATGGGCTTTAAGGTACTAATAAATAAATAAATAAGCTAAACTATGAGAATATGCCCCTCAGAAAAAAAAAACAAATGTTGAATGTTCTGATAAGCAAAATTGGAGGCCATGTGAGCTGAACAATGGAGTCCACCAGCCCATGGAACTAGAGGTCGCAATGCCAACAGATATCGAGAGGGCGCTTTCCACCACCTGCCAGTTTCAATACAAACAAACATAATATTAGAGTGCACCCATGTGATCACCACTGCATGATGAACATTAAATTAAAGATCCCAGTTCAGCGGTCCTACAGAACTATCGAAGCTACCCACCTAGAGCTAAAACATTGGACACCAGCTAAGAGCAGACTGACTTCCTACTGTCTAAACATCCATACAGCAGATTTCACCCTACATGCAAAAAGAGAGACCTTGTTGTTGAAGTAGGGCACATCCTGCCACTGGATGCCCTCCCGCAGGTACTCCTCCTGCTCCCTCTTGAGCACCAGCTCAATGAAGAGCTGCTGCAGCTTCTCGTTGCAGTAGTTGATGCAGAACTGCTCAAAGCTGAAACAGCACAAAACACGGAAACGAGTCAATGAAGGAAGTACAGCCCTTCCAGGTAATTTGTTGATTTATTTGTACCTCCAGAGCCTTCAAGCGTTACAAAGGAGGGTGGGATTATAATGCACAATAACGTAAACAGAACAATGAAATCATGAAACAGGTCCTAGTACTTCGGTTGAAGCATTTTTTCTTAAATCAACAAGGTTAAGGATTGTGGCAACGGATGCAGCTCGTTTTGGTCTTTGGAAAACTATGCCCCAGAAATTCTAGTACGACGAATGCACCACCTAGAGACACCTTTGACAAGAGTTTCATTGCACTCACTCTATTGGCTGATTTATGAGGTTAATTTTATGCTCGGACATTGCTCGCGAACACCCTGTAGTATCGCGACTAAGTTCTGTAGGGAGAAATCTCCGTAAAACAGGACGCACATACAGCTCGTCTCGGAAAAGTACCTACAGTTGCATGGACGACCTTCCCCCTAGGTACCTTGAATGTGTTTATCCCTACGGGGCTGGTAGCATGATTACCTCCAAAAGGCAGTTTCTGCACCCTCTGCTATATTCCGTTCATGTGGAAAAGGTTTATCACAGCCCCAGCTAAGCGAAAACTCCTCAACAAAAAGATTTTGCAGATATATCCCGCTTAAAAAAAAGTCAGAAAGGATGAATAGACAAAGACCTGTTGTTGTCGAAGATCTCGAAGCCGTAGATGTCAAGGACCCCAATAACCGTGTTCTTCTTGACATTGTAGCCGTTGGTCCGCACCTCGATCGCCTCGTTGACTCTGCCCACAATCCAGGAGAACATTCTTTCGTAGATCGCCTGCACAAAAGCAAACGAATGAAACTAAGGTATGCACAAGTAGACGCGGTAATGGTTCTCCTTAAGAACATCACCATAAAATACCGGGCAAGCACCCACTCAAACTTTGGATATAATCGCAAAAAAATGGGGGATGGGCGCTTGTCTGGTCATCAATTTTACACATAAATGTATTGTGCATATTTTTTCAGATCTCACAAATTTGGTAATGGGCGCTTAATGTGGAATGGGTGGACCCGCGGTATTCTACGGTATAATCTTTTTTTTTACAGCCTGAATAACCAAAACACCTGCAATTTCAAAGGGTTGTACCGTAAAATACTAAGGAAGAGAAGTTGTCCAACGAAGCATCTACTATCAACTTTTCCAGATTCTGGGAGCTTTGAGAAGCACGCGTCAAGCAAGCACCCTCTTCCTCAGAAGAGCAGTAACCTACAATCTATGAACGAAAAAAAAAAACAAATTAAATTGCTACCTGTTCTTTTGCAGACCCGCGACTATATCCTTCTCCATACATGCACCAGTCTTTTTTTTACTTTTTTTAGTATTGAAAGACATCTCGCTACCAAAAGATGAGAAGGAAAACAAATGCCCTTGACATGCCAAATGGTAGAGAGAGATGTCCACCATTAAACATTCCCTTCTGTAATCCCAAATGGCACTCTTTTGGAATGTATATTTGGGTATCCTGCAGCTTTTTGGAGCGCCTTTTTTGTTCTATCTTCCCTGGTTTTGACATAAGCAATAAAAAAACACGCGGCACCTTTAAGGATTCACTGAACAAACAAAGCAGACCCCACGGCGTGTGAACCAACGCTTTTAAGGCACATTAGACGACCCGCAAAAATTTATTTCTTAGCGTATCACGCTGCGATATGGTGAGATACCACAGGGACAATCAGATAAAAGAAGGGCAAGAGAGCTTGCTTAGTCAAAGTGGCAAAAAGCAAGATGGTGTAAAGTTAAAGTCCAGGCAAAAATTCCCCTCAGGCTTGTTTGTTACTAGAAACCGCAGAAACATGAGCTGCGGTATTCACGGCAGTCTCTCGTGAACCTGGGGTTGATTGTCCACAGCATGTAAACTAACGCCTTCAAGGCACTTTAAACAGCCCGCAAAAATTGGTTTCGCAACGTATAGCGCTGTAATTTACTACAAGGTGCAAGCAGGTGGTGGAAGTTTACAGCGAAAAAAATCTATATAACTCTACCTCAATCAAAAAGAAAAAAACCTGTTGTGGGCAGTTTGCGTTGCCACTTCGCAGACAATGCAGACATATTAAAGTGCTGCTGACAGGTGGCGTACGCCACGCTGAGGGAGCACCAGCCAATTTGTGTTATGATAGCAGACGATCCCGCAAAAGAACCCGAATTGGCTGACACACCCTCGGTGCGGCATGCGCCATCTGTTGGCAGCACTTCTCATTATGCGTGCATCATCTGCGAAGTAACAAAACAAACTGCCCACGGCAATTTTTTTTTTAACGAGGTAGATTGACTTTTTTTTTTTTCACTGTAAGCATTCAACACCTGCTTGCACCTTGCAGTAAATTGCAGCGCAATACATGTAGGAACCGATTTTCGTGGGCCGCCTAAAGTGCCTTAAAAATGTTAGTTTACATGCTGTAGATTAATCAACCTAGAGTTCACAAGGGATTGGCATAAATACCTAGTTCATGTTTCTGCGGTTTCTAGTAACAAACAAGCCCGAGAGTTTTTTTTTTTTTTGTCTGGAATTTTATTTGTCCCCATCTTGGTTTCTACCACTTTAAATGAACAAGCTCGCATGCCCTCGTCTTGTAAGATTTTCACTGTGGGATGGGCACTTCTGTGTTTTAAGGTAGTACCAAATTTACGAGAATATTTGTGACCCTAAACAAAGAAGTTTCCAAAGGAAGAGCATGCCTTGGCAAAAGCGTCCCTGCCGTAGATTGCCTCGGAGACGGTGTGGCCCTTCTGCATGACCTCCCCTCCCGCTGCAATGACTCTGTGGCACAGTGCCTGCTTCAGGGCCTCTGGTGACACGGACAGGAGCTGACTGAGCTGCTTCAGGCTCCCCTTGACCTTGGCCTCGTCTTTTTCCACCTCAAACGACACCTCGCCCTGCAGATTGGAAGGAACACTAATTATATCAACAGATCTTAATCTTTCAACTGGTGTCCCGCAAGTCCCCATAAAAAATGGCGGCAGACGAAGAAAAAGTCGGACTTGGGCAGAAGTACAAGATGCATGTAAATTGGCTAATAAACTTCAGAAAGCACAGCAAAGATTAATGAGAGTTGAGTAGTATAACAACTCCACAAGCTAACATTGCATACAGGTGAAATTTTTGTGGGAAGAACGATAACTTCTCAGTTGAAAACATGTTTTGATTCCAGGATGAAAGAGAGTTTCATAACTTTGTTTAGTAAAACCACTAATGCTTGTTCATCTAAAAAAAAAAAAAAAAAAGCTACCAAGATTTTTTTTTTTTTTTTTTTACTGATGAAGTTGTATAACTGCTACATACCTTTCCTGTGATATATCACAGCACAGACAAAAAGGCACATCAAACATTCTGACATTGTTTTTGAAACACAAAGCTTGTTAGTGTCATGTGGATCGACCGCAATGCATAGCCACCGTAGCAATCTGTGCCATTCCAAAGGTAAATAATTCATTCTGCCTTCAGAACCTTTCCCAAAATAACATCATTGATTACATGTGGTGGAAGCTTTGCCAGTGTTGTTCGTCTGATGCATTCACATGCATTACACATCCAAAGGTATATTACGCAGAGCTGGAAGTGACTTACAAGGTGAATGATTGCAGCAACAATCTTCCAGAGGGTTTCACACTGCTGCGGCGTGAAGCCGAGAACCTTGAGAGCAGAGCAGACCTGCTTGTAGTCTGCCCTGTCATTGATGGTATCCACCTAGAGGCAAACGAAAACATTCATGCCTCAACACCTACGTGCAGGACGCTAGAGTGCAGCTCCATCCACGTGAGTGAGGAGCAATGCAAAATAATCAAACCTGAAAGACACAGCAGCATAGTGAAACACAAGTAATGTCGCATCACTTGGCCGACTGTCAACAAGGCAGATATTGTTAGAACTCAGTTTAATGAACATTAGTGTAACCACATTCGTGTAACTACTACCAACATATTACTAAATCAAAGTCGGTTGTCAAGCTCCCTAGAACGCCTGGCACCTTTTCATGGCGCGTCTGCTCGGCGGCACTCGCTGCGCTATCAGCCCGTCCTATGAACAGAAGCAGCGGAACCGGTGAAATGTTGAATGCAGATTGCTTGTGGTGGAAAACGATTATATTGTGGTTTTTATGATAACTGCGCAAAAAAGCAGTCAATCGAAAACGGCTTTTCTCCGCTGCCCTTGGAGGCGTTGCCACTGATGAAATTAGGAACGCTATCCACTCATACCTACTCACATGCAGTAAACAGGGAAGAATTGTTTTCGAACGACGCTCTTCTGTGGAGCTTGTTAAGTGATAGATTTAAGAACGTTGACTACTACCGCATAATGTGCATTAAGGACCCCGGCTGTCGGTGGTACCACACTGGCCTCCGTAGCAAAAGCAGAAGTCGCAAAATTTTGAAGACGACTGACTTTCCACTGTGTGAAAGTCCACCCAATCAACATTCAAAATGAGAATATCAATGAGCAACCTGAAACAGTTATACTACTAAAAAAAAGAGCTATGCACGAAAGTGAACAAGGGCAAAAGTGTAGAAGCTTCATGTCCATGCTCGCCCCCTTTTGTGTTAAGCTTTCCTTTTCTTAGTAATCAACATTATTTTTACTCATTTCTTCGTGCAATTTCCTTCACGACATTTCACCTGTGATTTTATAAAAGGTCCCTTGATAGAAAAGCTTCGGGTGCGGTTACAACTGAAGTAATTTTACAAAGAAGCAAAGAAAGTTTCATTACCTTGGGCGAGCCACCCTGCTTGGTGTAGAAGTAGAGCTGGGCATCGTGTTTGAGGCCATAGCCAGACAGTTGGGAGTCTGAAGCCCCAAGCAGAAGTTCGTAGAAGGCGTGGAAATTTCTTTCTCCTGGCTGCTGGTAGATGACTCGGGACTAGAGAATGCAAACATGCACACAAAAACAAAATGGGAGAGTTATTTTTCACAATTTAGAAAGTGCTGCTGCAGTAAACACTTTGTGAAACCAAAGCCGATGGTAATTATGCACGTACACTGCAAAGCTACAGTTTTAGGCCATGGCAGTGAATACAATGTCACTTTCAGAATACCGCACCTTGAACAAAAAAAACTACAACTGTGCACAAACTCTATTTTAATTTCTCGTGTAGCTTATAGCACCATCGAAAACTGCTACGGTTGAGAAGCTTGTGTGCTTGCAAAACTGCTAAGCATAAGGCTTAAACATACATTTTTCCTTCTTGGTTCCATGGAAGCACTAAAGCTAGAAATAGAGCTTACGAAAAGATCTCTGCCTTCAACCCGAAGAGCCGAGTCGAGAGACTTCAATAAGATGGCTGAAGAAAGAGCGTTTGGCAAGAACGAGGTGGAACGGAAGTTTTTGTTAATGGTGTTGGCACATACCTTCTCAAGGAGATAGTTGTTGATGTGTCCTCCGAGGGGGTCCCCCTTGAAGTCAAAGTTGATGTCCATGTACTTGCCAAACCGACTGGAGTTGTCATTGCGGTTGGTCTTGGCATTGCCGAACGCCTCCAGGATGCAGTTGGACTGGAGCAGGATGTTCTTCACCCTTCACAGACAACAGGAAACATTCTCAACTCCCCATTTTAGATTTCTGAATTTTCCGAGATTTCTCAAAATCAAACCGAAGGACTTTTGACGTTGTGAAAATCTGAGACCGAGGAAACGCAGTAAGGGGATAAAGCATGCAAAGGTCTCAAAGGCTTTCGAACCCACTTGCTTTGAAACTTTCGTTGTTGTGGTTCTTTACAAAGTTTCCTCGGTCCTGGGTTTTTCACAATGTCGAGAGTTCATCAGCTTGCTCGAATCTTCAGTGCTCTTCCTGAATGATTTATCTGTGTGTTCTGCTTACGAGCCACACGCTACAAACTCTGGGTCGCAACAGAAGGATGATATGTCAGAAACAGAAAAGGCTTTCTGATGACAGAAAGTCTCTAAACAAATGTCTAATGAGGTGAGCTTGTGCCCACAGGCGTAGCATATATCCTCCAAAAGCAAAGAAAGGGAGCGAAAGGCCAGCCACCTATGCTTCTTATAGTTACGCCTTCGGCAGCCAAAAACATTCTATGCCAGCAATACAAGTTTTGCGATTACACTGGAACATTCCAGAGAAGCTAATAGAGGATAACAATAGAAACCACCACCAGGATTAGGACCCTGGTCGTTTGGGTACGGAGCAAATATACTACCAACCTGGCGGCACTTGCAGTTGAGCTATATACCAAAACCATTCCAGGCATGACAACAAAACATGCAATTTTGCTAAAACTAAATATAGCTTTTTTTCTTTTTGCTCAACTGGTTTTGAAGCACTTTTTGTGTGCAAATGTTCAGCTTCTTCAGGCTTATATTGTTACAGAGCACAAAAAACTCTGAACCTGGCAATAGCCACAATGCAAGAAGCAAAAGCGTTCAGACCTTTCAATCTCTTGCTGTCCCGTGACATTTGTGATGGCAGCAATGTACCTCATGATGATCTTGGATGCCTCAGTTTTTCCTGAGCCACTTTCACCTACACAAGACAGATGGGGGAGTAAAAAAACCAACAAGAGCACATTTCGTAAGAACTGGCATCCAGCTGTCTGAGAAGTTTAATATGATGCTGAGAATGTCAAACAAGTAGTGGCTACCCACCACCAGAAACGTGTATAGAGAGAGTCTGGTCAATGGGAGGCGCGGGCAGAGCCAGGTCGTGCACCAGAGGCAAAAAAAGGGCTTGAAATGCTCTCTTGGCCAACCAGAAGCCGAAAAGACTCCCCTAGCGTTGGTAGTGAGGAACAGTTTTAATTGTTTTAATAAGCACGGAACAGGTAAACGTAGTAACCCTTCATGGTTGAAAATAGGATAAACGTGATGTTTCGATCATGATCATGCAGAAAGATGTAAGAAACCACTGTGCCGCTCGAACTCTGTTTTGCTCGGACAAAGTGGGACCGCTCGGACGACAGATTCCCGGCCTTCGGCACCTGGCAGATGGAATATGTCGATCGTTCCGCTAGTCGCACTCTTCCACAATGATTTTAGATGTCCGTGATTGAAACATCACGTGCACTATATTTTCAGTCACCCAAAGTTACTCCGACACACTTCTTAAGTCTGTTTATCGCAACCACCGCCAGGGTAATATTTCCCGCTTCTGGTTGGCCACATTCGAATTTGTGAAGATGCCCTGGAACACGTCCAGCCCGCTTTCGGCCAATGACGCCTCCAGATTTGTCTCCTATACTTACCAATGAATGGCCAAACTCTCTACATATATGGCTCTGCCCAACACTTACCTTTCTGCAGTGCTGCAGCTTTCCTAATTTCCAATAATTATCGTTATCGCTATTATTATTTGCATAACAAGCCATATGTAGCTAAGTACAGTCGATGTAGGGCATCTGCAATGCATTTTAAGAAAGCATTAGTTACATAAAATAATTTAAAGCACCAGTACCTAAGGCAACAAGCAAATTATTGAACTTCCAATAGCATTGGGGATTTTTATGAAAAATCTTACATAAGGGTTCAATTAGGGTGTCGAGCAAATTATTATTTTGAAAATCCCCGACTTTTCCAGGTTTTCCCTGACAATTTCAGGTGAAATTCTCTGACTACTGTGGAGGCGGTTAAATATAAAAGACCATCACAACACAAGGCATCGAGCACTGTAAGGATCATTCTGCACGGGCTTAATCCAACTTGCACTTTCCGAAATATTCCAGTTCGTCCACTCCGGATTAAACGAGCATTTTCTTGCCGCCGACATCGTCAGTGAAGAGACCACTTCTGGAAACACCGTGAAAACACGACGCTCAACCACATACAACAATAACCGAATGCACACTTTCGGATACTTTTGGCTAAAGGCTTGGATTGGGATCTGCGGCTCCATTTGTTACTAAATCTAGTAGCTCTAACTGGATCTATTCTAGGTGTGTCGCGAACCGGTCGCGGTTCGAGTTCAACCAGGTTTGACCTCTTGTAACTTGTGAAAAGTTTGACGAAGGTTCGACTCGCGTTCGAATGCCATGCGCATGCGTGGCTGGCTGGCCATTTGGCTTCGGATTGGATGGTGATGGCTAACGGATGAATTAAGGGCAGCACTGATTGGTTATTTCAGTTAATACAGTACAAAAAATTTTGTTTTTAACTTCCTCAGTGATTATAATTAGTTTTGTTTAATTGCAACTGTTCATAAAATTAAAATAACCCTTTGCATAAAAAAATTCTCCAAACCTAGACATGGTCTGGAGACACTGTCCAAAAAGTCAAACCGGTCGAATCTGGTTAAAAGTTAGAAGGTTCGTCGAACCGGTTCGAACAAGTCGAACCCCTAAAGTTCGACCTAAAAATCTGGTTCGACAAAAGTTCACGACACTCCTAATCTAGACTAGTGTCGTGCCCTCAATCCAATCCAAGGCTTAGACTGGACTTGTCGGCTGTTCATTTTGCATCGGGCAGCACACTCTACATTGGGTGAGCAGAGCCCGCGCTCTGCTCTAAGCAGAATTTATTGCATATTTTCCTGCCCCCAAGTCCTCAACTCTTTACTCAGGGCACTCAATGGCATTTCCGGCTCATTTTCCCTGACTGGGCTCACTTTTTGACAATATCCCTGACAATTCCCTGATGTTTCCCAGTAATTAAAATTTCCCTCACAATTCCCGGTTTTCCTAGTCGCCAGACACCCTGGTTCAACCCAAAGATTTCTGCAGGCTAGAACTTGTGTGCAACTCCACTTTTGTGAAATTTTGATCTTTGTATTGAGGTTGTGAGCAGGCTCCTCAGTCAAACAACCAAATTGTATTCTACACTATTCCCAACAATCAAATGATGACATCACAAGTATTCTATTTAATGTTTTATTTGAAGCTTACACCTTCAAATGATACATTAAAGACAAGACCCCCAAACACAGTTTGAATCAAGAGAGGATTCAACAACCCTTTAGCCTCTACAATCACTGAATATTTGCATGAAGACATATTTAAGGAAATTATGAAAGGAGTGATAGGGTATGGAGTGCTTTAAGGGGTGTTCCAGTTGGAACCAGTGTCGACACTCCAACATAAGGGTTTTAATTAGTAAGTAGTCAACTCCTCTACCTAAGCAAATTCTTAGAAGTGCTGAAAACCTTTTGCGGCACAAAACTGGGTGGTGTCTTCACCTGAGATGACGATGCAGGTATCCATAGACTTGCGCTTCATCTCCTTGTAGGCCGCATCAGCGATGGCGAAAACGTGCGGCGGCCGCTCGAAGATTTCACGGCCCCTGTAGTCATTGACCTGCTCCGGCCCATAGATGTTGAGGGTACGGTAGGGGTTGACGGAGACACACACTTCTCCAATGTAGGTGTAGACTTTGCCTCCATTGTACCTAAGGAAATACAGATTTAGGACAACATGTTTATGCGCTAGAAAAAGCAATGCCGAATGGGTTAGTTGGTGTTTAGTTTTTACATAGTGCTGAATGTCTGGACAGAGGCACATAGTCATAATCAGAAAGAAATAGGCCATGTTAAGTGTAATAATATTGTTTTGTAAGTCCGAATAAACGGGGCGAGTAGGGGGACAGATGAAGGGGACACAGCGCCCAGGGGATCTCAAAACGTTCTACACGTAGTATTGCTTGTTACCCGGTACGACCGGTACAATCACGTAAATACTACCACATGGTGTCAGAAGTGCTCCAAAAATGAAAGCCTCACGAACTCGGAGAACGTAACGGCCCCAACAACACTGCTAGCAACGGGTTTCACGGCGCCACCAGTCTTTGATTTCAAGCGCCCAGAAGAATGGCCAAGGTGGATCACCTGATTTAACAGGTACCGTAAAGCTTCGAAACTTGATAAAGAAGACGAAGGATTGCAAGTAGATGCATTAATCTACTTTCTCGGTGAGGACGCGGAAGACATTTTGTCCACCTCGGCTTTAACCGACACCGAACAGGGACAGTTCGAAGCAGTTGCCCAACTCTTCGAAAGCCACCTCGTCGGCAAAAGAAACGTTAACTATGAATGGGCCAAGTTCCACCTGAAGAAACAAGTGCCGGGTGAATCTGTTGAGAGCTTCATGACTAGTCTGCAACACCTAGTAACACATTGCGGCTACGGTGCGTTGAAAGAAGAACTCATCCGCGATCGTTTGTCATTGGATTGCAAGATTCTTCGCTCTCAGAAAAACTTCAAAGCGACCCAAATCTGACACTGGTAGCTGCGTGCACACGAGCTCGACAGAAAGAAGCCGTGCATCGACAGCAGGCTGTCGTCAGAGGCGAATCCCAAGCAGAAGACACGACGCTAGATGCCCTCCACAAAAGAATGTCAGCAAAAGAGAAAGGCGCAAAGCGGCGAGAATGCACGCCGAAAAACGCTGAAAATCATGCGGCTAGAACACAGACGTGTGGAAGATGTGGCAACAGTGCACACGAAAAGTCCAAGTGCCCTGCAGTGGGATCAACCTGTCGCAACTGCGGAAAAAAAGGTCACTGGCAACAAGTTTGCTTTAAGAAGCTTAGGAATGAGGGCAAGAGCACCCTAAAAGAGGTGACGCTACAGGACCCAAATGAAGCGTTAAGCTGGATGATCAGAAGCATCCACGCAGCTGAAGGAAGTGCGTGGAAAGTCAAACTGCGAGTCAACAGAACGACTGCTACGTTCAAGATAGACTGGTGCAGACGTCAGTGCCATGCCTCCAAACACTGTCCCAAGCAAGGTGACCCTTGAGGAGACAGTTGCCAAGCTCTACAGTGCAAACAGGCAACAACTCGAAGTGTTGGGCAAGTTTCAAGCGACAATACAACATAACAATAAGTCTATACAGCACGTGATCTACATAGTGAACGGCCTGGAAGAGTCTCTTTTGGGAAGAAAAGCCAGCAGCGAATTGGAGCTGATCCATCTTCTGTGCACAGTCTCGGACCAAACAGCCAAGAGGTACCACAAACAATACCCTGAGTTGTTTTAAGGTCTCGGAGAAATGGCAGAGTACAAAATCAAACTTTCGAAAGACGCCACACGCCAGTCTCCGTCCACATATCACGGCGTGTACCCCTGGCACTGATGACGAAAGTACAAGAGCAGCTGGCAAGCATGCAGAAAGATTGAATCATGAGAAAAGTTGAAGAGCCTACGCCATGGTGTTCTGCAATGGTTGTGGTGCTTGTGGTGGCCAAGCCGAACTGAGAAGTATGGATCTGCGTGGATTTGACGGACCTGAACAAGAACATAGAGCGCGAAAAGCTAGTCTTGCCCTCTGTCGAAGAAGCACTGGAACGGTTGTCACGCACATCACTGTACACAAAACTAGACGCCAAGTCCGGATTTTGGCGAATTCGGTTCACAGAAGAGTCACAAACTATGACCACCTTTATCACTCCCATTGGTAGATTTTGTTTTCAAAGACTGCCGTTTGGAATTTCTTCTGCCCCGGAGTATTTTCAACGAAAGATGAACGAGATCCTGGAAGGAATCCCAGGAGTCCTATGCCATATGGACGACATCCTAATCACTGGTACGAACAAGGAAGAGCATAATGAGAGGCTAGAGGAAGTCCTTAAGAGGTTGAAAGCAGCAGGTGTCCCACTCAACGACAAATGCGAGTTCAAGCAAAAGCCCATAAAGTTCTTGGGACACATCGTCAGCCAGGAAAGGATCAAGCCAGACCCCACAAAAGGTCACAGCCATCTCTCCAATATGCCAGCGCCAACGACAGTGACCGAGGTGAGACAATTCATCGGAATGGCAAACCAAGTGGGACGCTTCATCCCCCATCTTTCCGAAAAATTGAAGCCTCTGCGTGACCTTCTCAAGAAGGCAAACGAGTGGACGTGGGACACTGCACAGAAAACAGCATTCAATGCAGTGAAGAAGGACATCCAGGAGACAACAGCCCTAACACTGTATGATCCGCAACAAGAACTTATTGTTTCAGCAGATGCTTCGTCTTACGGTTTGGGGGCAGTGCTACTACAAAAAGACAAGCACGGAGACATTCAACCAGTAGCCTTCGCTTCGAAAGGACTGAGTACCACAGAAACAAAATACACTCAGATCGAGAAAGAAGCGCATGCCGTGACATGGGCATGTGAATGATTTGAGAAGCTCCTGCTAGGAACACAGTTTCACATCCACTCGTACCTCTTCTTGGGTCATCATCCACTCGTACCTCTTCTTGGGTCCAAAGAACTGGATGCGATTCCAGCCAGAGTTCAGTGATTCAAACTGCGGCTGATGAGATTCTGCTACACAATCTCACACGTGCCTGGAAAAGAACTCTGGACAGCCAATGCCCTGTCAAGGTCACCTATTGAACCTCCAGACAATATGGAAGAAGAAACCGAGGCTTTTGTGCAAGTCGTTCTTCAGTCAGTCCCTGCATTCCGGGAGTACCTGGTCGAGGTAAAGAAGATGCAAGAGGATGACCCAGTCTGTACTAAAGGGAGGGAGTACTGCGAAAAAGGATGGCCAACTAGCAAGCAGCAAGTGCCAATCGAGACCACCCCATATTTCCAAGAAAGACACAACCTCACGGTACAAGAAAACATACTCGTGAGAGGCAACCGCCTTGTGATGCCAAGTCAAATGAGGAAGCAAGTCTTGCACCGACTGCACGATGGCCACCAAGGTATCTCGAGATGCCGGCAACAAGCCAAGATGTCAGTTTGGTGGCCAGGACTAACCGCAGATGGCTGATGTTGTCACAAACTGTCTCAGCTGCGCACATGAGCGAGCACCAAAAACACAACCGATGATCGCGTCTGAACTACCAGAGAGACCATGGCAACGAGTTGGGACAGATTTGTTCGAGTTGAAAAAGAGCCCAATACCTGCTTGTCGTAGACTACTACTTGAGGTACGTGGAAATAACCAGACTGAGACAAACCACTTCAGAAACAGTCATATCACATCTCAAGGCACTATTTTCACGTCACGGAATACCTGAGGTTCTGCGGTCAGACAACGGTCCACAATTCAGCTCCAAGCCATTCGAAGGCTTCTGTAAGGACTACAAGATCGAGCATTTTACAAGCAGTCCACGTTATCCGCAAAGTAACGGGGAAGCTGAAAGAATGGTCAAGATAGCCAAAGACATCATCAAGAAGTCTGAAGACCCCGAGCTTGGATTACTGGTCTACAGAACAACACCAGGACCTTCTGGATACAGTCCGGCACAGCTTCTGATGGGAAGGCAGTTGCGAACCACACTGCCAGTATTGGCTTCTACACTCTTGCCAAGATTGCCCAACCATGAGGAGTTCCGCAAGAAGGATCGAGAAGAAAAAAATAAGCAAGCGGAAAACTACAACAAGAGACACGGAGTGTACCGAAAACAGGAGTTAGATATTGGCAGCAAGGTATGGGTAAGAGACAGCAAAGCAACTGGAACAATTACGGGCAAGAGACCAGAACCTCGATCCTACACTATGAGGACGAGGTAAGGATATCTCCACCGGAATACACATCACCTGGTTCCAAAACCACGGGTGACCACCAGCAACCAAACACATCCTGAAGCAAGCACATCAGAATTCAGTGTTGCTCCTACAGAAGAAAACATCCCAAAGACCCGGACCGGACGGACCATAAGAAAACCAAAAAGATTCACCAAATGACTTTTGCGTGGGAAGAAGAGATGCAATAATATTGTTTTGTAAGTCCGAATAAACGGGGCGAGTAGGGGGAAAGACGAAGAAGGGGACACAGCGCCCAGGGGATCTCAAAACGTTCTACACGTAGTGTTGCTTGTTACCCAGTGTGACCGGTGCAATCACGTAAATACTACCACATTAAGTAATACATTCTTGTCAAACTGGCTAATTGGTGTTTAGTTTTCAAATAGTACTGAATGTCTGGAGAAAGACACATAGTCATAGTCAGGAAGAAATAGGCCATGTTAAGTAATACATCCTTTTTGCTCACTGCAGTTGATCATGAACTACACTCCACCAAAAACATATAAATGTTTCCGCACCCATTTATCCAGAACAGTGAAGCAGCCTACTAGTAGCTGAATACATCCTAATGCGAAGTGCAAGTTTGTCATCTTTGGTGGTGACATCAGAACATCGGGCTCTGATTGAAGGATAGTGGGTAGACCTGAAAGCAAGCTGCCTTGAGGTCTACCCACCATCCTTCAATCAAAGCCAATCAGAGCTCGGCCTTCTGATGTTGCCACAAACCATGCAAAAGAAGCAGACGAACTTGTGCTCCACATAATCTGCGACAGAAATTTTTAGTTACAAGCTCCTTGATCTTCAAAAAAAAATTTAATTTGTGGAGGCTTGGGCAACTTAAATACAAGATGAATAGAAAACACCCCATGCAGTAACTTCTTCAGAACCATAGCTTTGAGACTTTTCATCAAAGACTGAGGATG